GGACCGTATCGAATTAAATTTAGAGACGCCAAAATTCGACAATAAATAAATCAGAGCAACTTCGAAGGTCTGGTCGGACAAAAACAGCAGAAAAAGCTGAAAGCCTGTAAGAACACTGCCGTGAAAATCATAAGAGGTCACCTTGCCAATTCAGCAGCACATCATTTGCTGCTTCCGGAGACTCAAGTAATAATTCCACCATTAAGGTGTTTGTTGTGTAGCAGACTCAACGCCTACTTAGCCATACACGAACCCGACCTATGTCTTAAATTTATCTACCACCATTCCTTTTTCCTCTACTACGAACCCATTGACGAAACAGCTCATATATATACTTGTCGTCTCGATTGACTTCAATACAAGGGACTAACTATGCCTGAACCTAAGCGGTGTTCAATGACTATAATTAAAACTCGAGCTCGTACTTATAAATTTTCGTACAATTCGCATCGAACAGGTGTAGGAGTAATCTTGTACTCTTTTGGGTTAGGTCCACACGAATTTTTGCGCAAAAGAGATTGCCCTTTGTAAGATGTGACTAGGTTCCCGCGACAGTCGGGTCTTTATTCAGAACTAAACGGATTCTAAGCCGGCCAAGATCTCTTAGGTTAAGTTAATGAGGTTGGTCAATAAAGGGAACTATTGATCGAGCGCACTTAGACTTGTTGGCCCGTTGTACTACTGTCAAAATATTTTACTCTCACAAAATTGCTCAAAAAAACATTTGGTCGAGTCACCCAATCGGATTAATATGTTGTTTATTATTCTTTTCGTCTGATGATTAAACAGCATCATAATCTCAATGATTGATGGGCATCAAGATTTCATATCTCTCACGCTTCTGGATAGGTCACTGGGCCTCTGTTAAAACTCATGGATTGCTTCATTTTAGATGAATTTTTGGCGAAAACTAAAAAACCAGCGTATTTACATAATATGGCTCGGGCCGACTATCCAAAACTCAAGTTACCACCTCGAGGCAGCCATTTTCAGTCAATAGAACACGTAAAATACAGATTTGAGTATTTAAGTACAATTTAAACATGTATATGAACATACAATATCAATCTGTACTTAAATATCCTACATAATATAAGTAGTTATGTATCTCATCATCTAAACGCTTGAAAAATGGCTACACAGTCATTACAATTTCCTGCAGGCTCATGCCATAATATACAAATCCTCTCAGATATACATACATATGAATGTAAATACAGAAATACATATACATCTTCTTATATACATATGTATATGTTACATATATTACATACACAAGCACATATCTTACCTTTTGTAAAAGCAAAAAAAAAGACCCAACAACAATAACAAAAACAAACTGGAACCTAGCAAGAATGACGAAAAAGCGAATAACCAAGGACAATCTTGGAAAGTGGAAATCAAGAGAGAAAATAGAAATAAAACCAAAGGCAGCAGAACAAACTCAAATGGATACCTAATACACAAAAAAAAACGTACATACATACATATGTATATAGGAGTATGTAATTGTTGGCGGGGGGAAACAAAAGTCAATTCCAAACATAGTATGTGCAGAACAGCTGGAGGTGGAATACATACATATGCACATGTGCATGTTCGTATGCGTGGCTGTGTGCATATATTGATAAAGCGAAAATGTAAACAGAAATGTTACAAGCAGAGAAATGCGCCTGAGCACAGCAGCGCTGCAATAAACATTTGAGCAGCTGTTTTTATAGGGTTGCCATGGCTAAGAGTAAAACAAATGAGTTTTTTACACGAGTTGGAAAATTTTTAATCAAATAAGGAGATAATAAAGACATTTAAATAATATATTTAAATCATGTCTTTAGAAAAAATAATGAATCAGAAAATTTTTTCTAATTATCTACCTTTGCTGCCTTTTTTCCTTTTCAAACTAATGGCGTGCAATATCTTGGCCACCACATATGTACATACATATTTATATATGTGCATGGGTGCGAATAGACGCTTAAGCATAAACGTGAAAACAAGGATTGTCAAAAAAAAAGGTAGCAGAAAAAAACAACAAAGAGGAGAAGCAAACTGATTACACTGCGAAATACTTAAGCCACATAATGGAATAGAAAACAGATGAATAAAACAAAAATGGCCAATGTAGAGCAGCAACAAAAACGACTAGATAATAAAGTGAAAACAGCAAATACACAAATTCTTAAAGATATGTGAATATGTTTATATGTTTGTTCAAATAATTTAGCGTGCTATATTTATTTGTTGTAGATCTTTTATTTGCTTTCGTTATAATTAAACGTTAATAAAATAAAACGGCGTAATAGGCTGGTGAAATTTAGATGCGAACAGCAAAATATGTACACCTACAGAAGCACATGCATATGTAAATATGTACATATAACAACATTATGGCACTTCTGTGCCCTTTTGGAGTAAGTGCACATTCATACGTGTGATGGAGTAGGTATTGCGCGGTGGCGTAAACTGCGCACTACTTTGAGGATATGAATTAAATAAATATCAATGCCTAATTTCAATTACGAACAAATTAATTGCGTGTGGTATTTTATTGAAATAAGCTAACTGCCTGCTCTTCGTAGACTATCCTTCTAATACACCACAAAAAAAGAAAACATATATCAATATTATATCAATATTTACACACAATTTATTTATACACATAAAAAGCGATCATTTAAAAGACTTCAGTGTCAAATAACAAGCAATTTCAATCGATACGGGATTAAACCAACTAGTAGCTTTGAGTTTTGCTTACTTGCCCACTTAGCAGTTATGACGTAGTACTTATGTGAAGGCCTTCTATGTAAATATACGTACATCCATACATTAGTACTATGCAATTATCGGATACATAAAGTGGAAGGAGGTGAAAATCAATTTAGTCTTTTTTTTACTAATACTTACTTGCACAATTAATATTTGGTTTTCACTGAAACGTTAATTGCGTTTTGCTTTGTAAGAAAATTTTCCTGTGAAATTACACGATGTGGGGTCACTTACGCACAAGATTCACTAAAATTGCTTTAATACTTTCTGAAACGTCTAATCTTGTTTATCATTTTCCTGTTTTGTCAGAGGTTCTTTATCCAAAATTCGGGAATATTATTCTTAATTCTCACTGTTGCATGTAGTTTGAAGTGATTTAAAGTCCAAATTTTTCCTCTCAATTGCACAATTTACACAATTCCAACAAACCTTTTCTCCCAATCTAAATATTTCTATACACCACCAGCTGACGATTCTGCCAATACTAACTTTGTCATTTACTCTTTGCTCCATATTTTCTTCCTTCCACAATATTGCATCGAAGTGTACCATATGTAGGGTTGTATAAAAAAGTATCAATTTACTTCATTGTGGCCTCTGAACCGCAATATATTTCATGTGGCCAAGAATTTAGATATAATAATATTACATTATAGTAGGGCTCAGCATTTGGAACCATATCTCAGCAAAACCGCTCCGAATAATCTCTTCCAAAGCGTCAATCGGTGCGTAAACAAGCAATTTCCCATAACCTGAAAAAAAGATCCCAGCGGTGTTGAATTGCACATCCTTTAAGTCTACCCACAGGTCCACGACCCGAGTCAATGCGCTCACCAGAGGCTCATTAGTGGAGCAAAAAACAAATGCAATAAAAGGGAGATATGTGCGAATCCGAAGTCCACATTTGTGGAAACTGCGAAATATGCTCAAACTAGTGAAGCAGGGGCACTCCTAAGCAGACCAGCCCACTATGTGAGCCGGTTAGACCAGCACCGAGGTAAAGCCAGTGCCGCTAGCTAGACTAAGATCGATAACTGGTGGGGACACCAAGGTTATTTGAGAAGTAACGTGTGAAGTCATAACCGGGAATACATTGTTACATATGTATGTTCAAAGTAACGGAAATTACTGATTAAGTTATAGTTAGTGTGGACTTGTTCCTTGGAGAAAGAATTAAGATCAATCTACAGAAAAGAGTAATCGAATGTGGCCATAAGAAAGTGCCAATAAATTGGGCTCACGATGCTTTGTACAGCCGCAAGAAAGTGGTCCTGATCTAGAACGAGCAACAGAAAGAAAATACATAAAGAAACCACAGAAAGAGTCTGCTGTCCGGAAGGACACAACTCCGGTTGTGAGCGGCAACAAAAAACCTCGATATGATAAGGCAACAGGATCAAGAGGATTGTGATCGTGTGTGATCCTAAGCGAAGAGATTACAGAGCAATTGGGAAAGTCCATATAAGTTATCGAACGGCTAAACAACGTATCGAATTGTCGAATTAAAATCGTTTAGATACCAGAAAACAAAATTAAAGTGGTCCAGTGGAAAGGCCTACACCGTTTACCCGTCCCGATTACAGATGAAAATGATATGCTGATAACTAAGTACATTATTCAACGCGGGTGTCGAATACTCTATACATCGTACGATCATGCCAGAATGTTCTAGAACTGAGTACGAGTTTATAGGAGAGCGATCAGCATACCGTTGGGCAGTTACAAAGTGAACTCGGATGGCGACAACACGGAATAAACTGTATGTTTATAGAGAGTTGTATAGTAAGCAAACTATGAGTATATCGGAGAGTGTAAGAATTTTAAAATAAGTAGTCGCGTATAGTAAAGCGAATTGTTATTTTTTAAGTAATAAATAGACGTTGATTTAATTCTTTCCAATTAAGAAATCGCCTTTTATGTGACAATCCAGTGATTGAACTCAAGAAACTTGGGATATCATCGAGGCGTATTTAGCGAAAAGCATTACATTAACGTACTTCGAACAAATCTGCTATAAGGCAAGGGGCGACGAATCTCTTATCTGAATCATCATATAAATTAATGATTGGGCGTCCGACTTATTTCTTCTTAAAAATGGAATAATTTTAGTAATTTTGCGTGAACTTTCGCGTTAACTTAATTTAAATTTTCGAAAGCGGAAGTTTACTGCTTGATCTGGCAACACATTCTTCTACGCACCAATTTCACCGCCATGGGTGAAAGACTGGAAAGAAGAAGAGCAAAAGAAATGTTGGCAGAATTGAAGAATATTGCAAATTTTGTATTCATTTTATAGGAAGTTGTGAAAAAATATTGTAATTATATCGAAAAGACCCACGAAATATTGGGTAAGTTCAGAAATAAGTGCGAAAAAATAAATAGTTGTATTGTGAATAAAATCCCTAAATTATATTTGGTGAAAGGACGTATAAGGGATGTTAGCTTTCATCGACGACGCTTTGGCTGCGATGATGACCTTATATTTTCCTGAAAATAAACAACTTTACTTGCTTAACGATAACGAACTTACAGCTCTTTCTTATATAAATATGTGACATTTCTACACAAAATTAGGATAGCAGCTCCTCGGGTAGGTAATTGAGGATGGTTGGATACATTGCTCAGGATGGGAGAACTTATCGTTACCAACATATTATGGTAATTATTCAGGACAGAAATGACTACGTCCACGGAAGAACGACGCATCGTATATGATTTATTTATGAATATCATGGGAGGCGACCACATCTTATCAGTTGTTTCCCTCCATATAGAGATATCTGCATATTTCCAACTGCCGGCAATTCCTGCCAAGATATGTAATGCATGTATTTATGTCTCTCACAGTGTAAACACGTCAAACTGAAAGCTGACTAATAGTTGTCAATGCAGAAATCAGGCGATTATTTAAAAATGAATGTGCAAATAATCGATGCTGTTTTGTAAGCGCGATGTGCCGGCGGGTGTGCATACACACTAGTTCATGGAATGTTAGGCTGCAATACAATTGCAATAAGCAAATTCTGTTGAAAGGGTTAAAAACCCTATTAGTGGCTTGTGAGTAATTTGTTTTCGAAAGTGATTTTGTAGAGCAAGTTAATTATATGCATAAAACAAATGAATGTGTAAACAAAAGCAGCTCATTTGTACCTAATAAAAATTTTTTTTTGCTGTCGTGATGGTTTTTTAAGAACATATAAAGGTTATTTATTTACTAAATCCGTAAGATCAAAGAAAAAGTTCCTAATTTGATATGTTATCAGTTTTAGTTAAGGTGTTTTTAAAAACTTGTTTTCAAGTCAGTTGTCGGCGAATCGGATGTTCGCAAAAGCGATCAAAGTCTTTTCGTTGAAACATTTATAAAAAATAAGTTTATTTTTAACGCAGGCAAAGATTTAAGGTAATTGTTGTTAACATTTTTTTCCCATTTCTTTTAAAATAAAAAATATAAATTCGTTTAAAATATACTTATGCAAATATAACAAAATAATTACGATAAATATAAAAATTGTTTTACTTTATTTTTTCTTCTTTAACGTACGATCGATTAATATTTCTTTTATTTACATCAATTAAAAATGTCATGTTGTCAGGTTTTTAAAATATAATTAAATTTATTCTGTATTATGGCATCAGTTTACAGCAAAAATTGTTTAGTTATAACCAACTCTTTGATACCAAAGTAAATTTAAAGTTGTATGTTAATTAATTTTTTTTTCGCAATCATAATAAAATATTTTTTTTTTATTGAATTTCAGATGCTGATTTTATGAAATTTTTTCCTACAATCAAGTAAACATTTTTGTCTACACGGTGAATCACTAAAAACAAAAACAAAAAACCAAGAAACGAATAACAATATTTCTATCAGCTGATGACAGCATAATCTGTGGTCCAACTGATTAATCAGCTAGCACAACACTTCTGAACAGCTACACCCTACCGTGGCCCGATCATATTATCTCCGACACGCTGCTCCATAGCTGAGTGCGCAAGTGCTGTTCAAAAAAATCCAATGTACTCTCTTAGCATCGCTCACAAATCATACTTTTAATGGTCACAGTTCGACGCCAAAGCAAATTGAACTGAAGCAACAGTATTCAAGAGTCGCTCGTCGCTGTTGATTCACAATTAATATTGAGTGCAAGTGGGTGGGATTTTTTCTTCGCAATCTTTGTTGTATACGCGAGAAATGAGAAAGTTATCTGCTGCTACTACTACTTAACGGAGAACTCTATGCGGTAAAGAGCAATGTGCTGACGCGTGGCTTGAAACGGAATATATAATAACAATTTTAAAGTGTCAAAAAAGAAGAAACATTAAAAAAAGCAATAACATAATTTAATTCAAAGCTGGCACTGTAAATTTCTTTGGTCATCAACACAGCCAGACAGTGTATGATTTTATGTATAAGCATGTGTATGCTATAGCACATAGTGGCGTAAATTAATAAAGGGACAGGAAATTGTATTCCGGACAAAAAACAAAAAGAAGGAAATAAAAGCAAAAAGTGAAAAGAAAACCAAAACACCCCCGCCTGAGACTCCAACACCACCATTACTACTACCACCACTAAAGTATGACAACATCGGCATTTAAAAGTAAGCGTAATAACGCAGCACCCAACGATGCGGAAGCTGATGGTCACATATCTAACAATGTGCACGCTACAGACACAATGGAAAAAACAGATTCTGAGGAAGATACATGGTCATCAACCGGTTATAATTACATAAATCCATTTGTACATCGTTTACAGATTGATAATAGCATTGATTTGGCGAAGGTAAGTGTGTGCGTGTGTTGAATTTTAATTGAGTTAATCGTTGAATCATTTTTGTATGCACGACTACTTACTTTGTTGTTGTGTATGATATTTTAAATGTTACAAATTCATAGTAACCTACTGACTTTAACACCTTCCCTTTGATTGGGATACTTTATTTTGATCGGATTTTCACATTTCACATTTTTAATTGTATTTATTTTTATTGGGTAGTAAATGAAAGTGTAAGAGATTTGTTGTCAATTATTGAGTATTTTCAGTTAATATTAATGTTTTGCGTGTTATTTAATGGTTTTGAATTTGATCGGTATATTCATATGTGAATACATCATATCTATATTTATGCTTCGCCTATATGTATATAGGCCGGTGTTAGGTCAGCGATATGAGGTGTTAAACAATTATTTTTAACTTACAGAAATTTTGAATTTTCACGCATCTTGTTGTAGTTTTGGGATCTAATTCTAGGTTTCTTGTGAAAATGTTGCATATTTTTAGGTGCGTTGAAAACAGAAATGCAACTATTCTATGTAGGGAGTTCAACGGAAGCAGCTTAAAAGAACCCTGCAAGAAGGCTTCTGATCATTCAAGCTAACATATGTCAGGAATACATAAAGTCATATCCCGACATCTCATTAAACGATTTTCCCATCACTTCCTTAATGCCGAAATGACAAATATGATGTTTACATTTGCATACGTGTACCTTCTTCACTCTTTCTTCATTTCTTCGTGAATTTTCATTCTTGTAAAAGGAGCCGAACACAGATGAGGAACAGCATTGACAAAAAATTTTCCCTACATATTTTACATAGTACATACAAACATTCTTAAATATTCAGTATTTATTCCAATATTTTTACATAGATTAGGTACGTCGCTTATAAAGCATAGAAGGATATAATAATATCGCAATATATTCATTTTCAAAAATCTGCAAAATATTTTAAGGAAAACCGCATATACAAAAGTATTTAATAGTGCCATACGTTGGTGACACAGCTCTTCAGCTCCACGAACACATCCGCCATAATCGCGGCTCCTTTGAAGTATAAACACGTCTAAGTAAAAAAAAAAATGCTCGGGTCATAATGTTAATGACGCAAAGTTTTGTTGAATATTTTTAAATCTGTTACGGCAGCAAGATGCGAAGCTTCCATTCCAGCCCAGCTGCTTCATTAGCTGATCTATCCGTACGATATGAAGTGCCCTTAAATAAACAAATGTAAAAAGCAATGAAAAATGAAGTGCTTAGATAATTAGTACAAAATATATTATTACCATGGCTTGTATAGGTTCCTCGTCATGTATTTTTCACTGCGGAAAAAACGATAAAAAGGGCGTTCTACTCGAAAATAAAAACATAATATAAAACGGATAATCCGTTTAACTGCATTCTTCTTCAATTTGTATATACTCAGCAGAGAAAAATAAACAAAAAATGTACATATGTTTTAGTGCTGCCCGAAAGCGTATGATTATATCGGTGAACTTATCAGCCCGTTCTTGCCGGGAAGTCAGGAAGAGAAAACTGACAGATTAAGAAAGAGAGTTTCTAGTTGTTTGTAATATCGAAAATTTGTAACTATTGAATTTTTTATGCTCTTACATAAATATAATATATGCATATATATGTAAGTACATACATATAACCTCCAAATTTTGCAGTCGATCTTTAATATCTTTATACCTATCATGAAAATAAATATTAGCTTTGAAGTCAGAGAAGAGTTAGATCAATGAAAATTTATACCGTTATGTTCAGAATGGCAATTTTTGTTTGTACGCAAACTAGTCCCTCAGTTCTTGAGATATTTCTATGGCACTTGGTGAGTAGATGCATTTTTGTTAAAAAAATCCGACAGAAAAGTATATAAAAGTGTGGAATTCGGTATTATACACACTTACATACATACCAGCGATTTTTTTTAGGTATTTATATGGTTTTGGGTCATATAAATCTATTGAAAAAGCATCTCAAAGCGTGGAATTTGCATTCTTCGCAAATACATAAAAATAAAACAGAGGACTATATCATATAGCACCTTTACCACCGATTTTTCAAACATTAAAATATTTCTTCCTAAAATGGAATGGAACAAACTGATATATTCATGAAAGGTATAAAGACTTCGGCAGTACTTCTCTCTTGTTTCTTCCCAAAGTTACTGCTTCTTATCATATATTTTCGTTTCTCAAAAATGATTTTGTTAAGGGGGGAAACTGTCTAGAATTTCGAAAAAATCCAAAAAAAAAAATTTTGTCTTAAAAGTCTTAAAAGTGCCTTAGGGTCTTAGAAATAACATACCGAAAGATGGATGCCGGCAAAAATGTCTAAATGCCTAAATTTTTCATTCGACGTCAGTGCCTCGCTGTTATGCCCCGAGCGACCTACAACTTTAAACGCGTTTTTCTCGAAATCACTTTTTTTAAACTGGCCGAAGACATAACTCGAACAAATTGTCACCGATTCTTACGATTTTTTTTTTTATATTACATAGTTTTTTTTCATCAACAATTTTACATCGTTTTTTATAGTGAAAATTGTAACTTTTTGTTCAAACGTGCACCATTTCGCGAAAAAAAAACAAAATATCGAAAAAATACTACGTAGGTCTCTTGCTGTTGTTATATAGAAACTAAAAAAAAAAAATTATTTTTTGATTCAGGACAAAAATTAAGGAGTTTACATCTTCGGCCATAGACCCTTTAGAAAAGAATGCGTCTTCGGAGAAATGCTGGACAGCGGCACGAAAAATTTTGTATTTGTACCATGAAATCTATATTATTAAACATATTTTAAAGTTTTTGGATTGATTCCTTTGTTGAGTCAAAATAAATTCATAAAATATGCCCATTTTTTGCACTCGAGACCAGCTTCCCCCCTTAAATTGTTCCCCATCATGGTATGGTATTGAGTTTGTTTAGGGCATTTGTATATATGTACATATGTACATATATCCCGCATATGCAGTAATATGGTATTTAGCGTTAAAGTATTTGCAGTCATCCAACAGATGCCACAACATTGACAACCATAACTCACACTCACAGTGGAAATTGTGAATTTACATACAGATATTTACGAGCTCAACAACCATTTATTGCAGATTTCAGCTTTTCTTGCTATTAATCTATAGTAAAAACAAGTTTGCCACTCGCTTCTTGCTTGCAAGTAACATAAATTTCCGCTAATGAATTAAATTAGATATAAGATGATCATCAGATCATCGTACGATTAGCGTTTATAACCCGGTGCACCATATACACAGGGTATATTAGGCCTGTTTGGCTGTACGTTTGTGTGTCCGTTAACTATGGCGGGGTGTTTTGTGTTCGGTGCCAGCTGAGCTTAGTTTCCCTTGCTCGTTCTTTACTTTTGAGTTTTTTATTTTCATGTTTATTTCGTTTACATTAAATATTTGTTTATCTGCCCATTTGTTTGGATTTAACAGCTAAACAGAAAACATATGGTGAGCTTTACACAAGATCAAACTGGGGTGTTTTACGCATAAACAATACACATAGAGCAGCATTGCCTTTTTTTATATGTTTTTCAGTGTTATCTACATACTTTTTTTAGCTTTGACATGACATACTTTCCACGTGTATGTTTCAGTAATTGGTTAGACTAAAAAAAAATATTTTTAAAACAAATTTTCTCGAAACTTCTATTGGTTAAACTAAAAAAAATTATTTTTAAAACAAATTTTCTCGAAACTTCTATAGGCTTGGGTATCTGCTTTTGTTTTTTGTTTTTTTATTTTTATTTTTAAATCAATAATTAAATAGCCTTTAAAATATTTTAAAATCGCTTTTATCACTTTGCCCTCAATTTAAGCGATTTGCATTAAATATACAAATATGCATCAATAATTTTTTTCTTCATTTCTTTGCGCATACGTGTATGTAGGTATGTACATACGATATAAGCATATGCACTTGACTGCTCACAAGTAGGGTTGTCGTTGTTGTTGTAACGTTGAATGAAGCCCGATTATAATACAGCCCTTCAAGCACTCCGAGAGCTAGTTAATCAGTTAGCCTTCTGCATTCTTTTTTACTCGGTCTTGGTCGTTGTTTCAAAAGTAGCTATGTATGTAGATACAATATATGTACATAAGTACATGTATTTGTTTTTATTTCGTATTTTTTTTTTCTGCTGTTTTCTATACTTTTTTAGTTTTTGTTTTTTATTGTTGTTTTCAATGCCAACACGAGTATTGGTCATATAGACCCAGTGGTGGCGGCAGTCGGTGGTGTTCATATGTATGCTTCGTAGATACATATGTTTGTATGTATACATATGTATGTACTTTGTTTTAGATTGTTTGTTTTTTTTTATTTACATTTTCTTATTTTGGATTTTCAAATATAATTTTAGATTTATGTATTGTATTTATCCACGAGTGCATAATCGAGTAGAATTTTACTTTTAGGCCTTTTTCTAGAAAGCATTCTTCAATATTTTTTAATTTTATTTTTAATTTTATTTTTAATTTTGATTTAATTTTAATTTTAATTTTGATTTAATTTTAATTTTGATTAAAATTTTTTTTTAATTATAATTTTTTTTAATTATAATTTTTTTTAGTTATAATTTTTTTTTTTTTTTTAATTTTAATTTTTTTTTTTAAATTTAATTTTTTTAATTTTTTTTTAAATGTATGTGAGAGAAAAACTTTATTTAATCAAATAAAACTTTTTTTTTATTTTCATGTTATTTGTTACATGCCTAATAAGATTTATGTTAATTTACTGCTATTTGTTTAATATATATGTACATGTACATATACATATAAACTTAAAATATCAGAGAGTAAATATTTCTTTAGAAAGCGAAATCGTCTTGAAATAAATGCGATTTTTATATGTTTTTTATTTATTGTGTGTGTGGTATTTATTGCGAATGGGAGCATACACGGTGTGTCCTAAAAATAACCTAACTTTTTTGGATATAAAATAAAATACACATTATATAATATTTGAAAGTTATTACTTATTCAAAATAGGTTCCATTTGACTGAACACAACGTTTGGAACGATAGTTACGGCTGCTTGAATGGCTGGGATATCATCATAAAATGCTCCCTTCATCTTGGTTTTCAGTTTTCATTAAAAATTCGAGCGATTTTTTGGTCGTCATTTAATTCATGTGGAACAAATCGCGCACAGACCTTTCTTTTCCCCAAATCTTCAGTTAAAATTCTCCAAATAGTGTTTTTACTCGTATTCAATTCCTCAGCCAACATTCTCGTAGTAAAATTTGCATCGATACCAATGATTTCACGGACTTTTTCCACCAGTTCAGCACGATTACTAGTTTCTGGACGTCCTGCTCTAGGGTCGTCATTTAAATCCTCACGACCATTTTTAAATTTTATATTCGCTCTTTGTTCCATTTTATTTTTGAACCATTAGCACACTTTTGGTTTTATTGAACTGGCTGTCACTTTTACATCTGTCATCCGACTTACATGATGTTAGGTGCGTTTGAAAGAGGATGAATGTATCTTTTCAATGTTGCAAATAGATGACGCTGTATGTTGTATAGTTTAAATATAAATTTCGGTTGTTTTTAGGACACACCGTGTATGTTTGTATATACTATATGTATATTACTTTGAAATTTTATCTAAATCATTTGCGATATTTTGTCTGCTATTTATTTTTGTTGTCTAAATAAACACTTTCGAAGATCTGCTGATGTAGGTTTTTGTGTTTTTGGCTTTAGAATTTAAGAATTTTAGTGTATTTGATGAATGCCCACACACACATGTATGTATATGCATATAAATAAGTATATGTATATGTACACTTTCAGTTACAATATTTTTTATCTAAGCGTTTTATTCTTTTAATTGTTTTATTTTACCTTTAGCAGGGCCGACCGCACTCTGTTGTGGTTTGCAATATATTTTGTCCGATTTTTAATCTAATTGCAAAATCCATGTATTTATTTTAATTAATTAATTAATTTTTTAAAGCTTACATAACAAAATCTTCTTATATAAACTATGGTGCGCAGCGCTAGCAACATAGGCTTTCGGCTGACTGGTTTATTTAAATACGAAAAAAACACTGATTAAGCGTCATCTAAACCAAAATATTAAATTTGTTTTATTAGATCTCTAATAACTTCTTTCGACCAACATCTCAAAAATATATAGAAAATTAATTTTTCTCAATGCGTTCGCCCCTCATTAGGAAATGCTAATGTCCGAAGAAGACGAGACTAGAGAAAAGTTCAGCCGAAACTCGCTTCAGCGGTTACAAAGCGCCAATTATATATATATCTACATAAATTTACTTATAAACATTGAAAAACAACTTGATTTTTTGTTAATTCGTAAAATTCACATATTTCGGTTGGCCAAAATGAGAGGTGTGTTCAACAAAAATAGTTGTTAATATTGAAATTCCATAGATTTTTGCACGCATTGTGCTAATTTTTTTTTATACATTTTTCAATACTTTGGAGTACCCGTCATTATTCTTGATAACTCTCTCTCGCGGGCATTGACCGTGTCAGTATTCGACAAGTTTCAACAGGAATGTCATACTAAACTTTCTGTATATTTCTCCGTAGCTGGGTTTTCTTTTGGCAAGGTGTTTTTGAAACTTCCCTTTCAACTTATGCCTAGAGGTGATTGAGGATTGACTTAGCCTTTCAACGACGTCCACATTACGCTCTTGGCATCATGAATTTCACGTAACTTGATGATGCTTAGAGTCGTTGTAAAATTTTAAACAACTCTAACCATTTTCTGTAAAGAAATGATTTTCCGGTAAAAAGAAATATATACATACACGTTTATGGATGTAGTAGCTGTTCCCTGCAACGCTTCGCTGCAGCGCATACTCATTGAATGTATGACAAATTAATTATGGGATATCCTTTTGTCATATATTTATTTACTGAATACTTGTGGGAATACCACATTTTTTGGGTTTTACCATTGACCTTGGCCCATTTCTCGGCAAGAGGAATACTTCACTTTTTAGAATAGGCCAGCCCCCGGTCCACTTCGAAGAGAGCAGAACAGTTTAGTTTAGAACCATAAATAAGATATTTTTAGTAGGTCCATTCGTAGAGAAGTTGTTGTTGTTGTTTTAATCGCAAAAATATTCCCCAAAGTAATTTTGTGGAATATTGCGGGAGTGACAGTCCTAGGCCGGATAAAAATCCGGATCGTTCCGGTATAAAGACTCGACTGTCACGGGAACTATTAGATATTAGTCGCCTCTTACGATAGGCCTCCCTTACCGCGGTTAAATTCTTAAACCCCTAATCCGCAAAGGCACCTATGTACCGTGTAAATCCAGCCATTCAATTTTTATTTTCGAATACGTCAGTCCTTGGTCCCCATTTGCGGAGCTAATTTAGTCATATCCTGTTTATTTGACGGTCTCTTTGCAAGCAAACTAGTTCCTCAGCTCAAAAAAACATCCAAGAGCATGAGATTTTGCTTTATCTAATCAAAGACAAGTGTAGTGCGATTGAATTTTGAGTGTGTAATCAAATCGAACATAAATACTGTTATTAAAAAAATGTATATTTGCTTGCTCATGACTCAATTGTAAACAAAAATGCATATAAAACAATCAAAGCATTTTGAAAATACAAAGAGAGTAAATATTTACTCATAATTTTGCTCATTTTCTATTTGCAGATTTATATGCTAACAGTACTCTTGATGCCAATTCGGGTAGTTGGCTGCGTAATCTCACTACTTTCCGCTTGGATGTTCGCCTGCATTGGCCTTTATGGACTGACACTCGATGATTTAAAGACGAGACCGATAAGCGGATGGCGTAGGTAAGAAAAAAAATTAAATAAATAAAAAAATAAGAATCCAAAACTATATTTATATATGCTTTTGTTTATGATAATTTTGAATTTACATTTTTTTTTTCTTAATTCTAGACAGTTCCAACGTATCACCTCCGGTGCTATGCGTACGCTTTTCGCAGCTGGTACCTTCCATCATGTCAAGTTGACTGGCCAGCGTGCGTCACCGAAAGAAGCACCCATTATGGTGGTGGCACCGCACTCATCGTATGTTGATTCGATTATTGTTGTAACAACGGGACCGCCATCTATTGTGGCTAAGCGCGAAACATCCGATATACCTCTATTGGGCAGTGCGTAGAAGAGAATAATATTTTTTTGTTTAAATTTATTTATTAAAATAATGAATTTCTTCCACAGAAATAATTAATTTTGCGCAACCAATTTATGTGCAACGTGAAGATCCAAATTCACGTCAAAACACAATACGTGAAATTGTGGATCGTGCACGCTCCGAAGACGAATGGCCACAAGTTGTTATCTTCGCCGAGGGCACGTGCACCAATCGTAAGGCGTTGATTAAATTTAAGCCTGGCGCTTTCTATCCTGGTGTACCCGTACAGCCAGTACTGTTGAAGTACCCAAATAAATATGATTCATTCACATGGACGTGGGATGGACCTGGCGTGTAAGTGGAGTACCACTAAGTTGATACCAACTCTTAATATATTTTCAGTTCAAAAGCTTTTATTAACTTAAACGATTTAATATGTATTCGTATACAGTCTTAAATTACTTTGGATGACCATGGCTCAATTGTACAGCCGTTGCGAAATAGAATTTCTTCCTGTTTACACGCCGTCTGAAGAGGAAATAGCCGATGCAAATTTATATGCGAATAACGTACGCGAAGTTATGGCCAAGTAAGTGTGAATTGCAGTATAATATTTCCTTCATTATCGCCTAATTGCTAATTTCATGTATTTCATATCATCACTCTTAACGCTGTCTGTCTACATTAGAGCACTCGGTGTGCCAACCTCGGAGTATTCTTATGAAGATGTAATTACAATGAGTCGTGCCAAAGATATGCGTGTACCCTTCCCTGGTGATATTGTGGAAATTGAGAGAATGCTTTACAGTTTGGGGTGAGTTTTTGGATAATAGACACGTTCGAAAAATTTCCCGCTTGTCAATTGCTTTTCTCAACTGTGATGTGTATTAGAAGTGCAGAACATTTTTTTATTATTTATATTTGATTATATTTTTTATTTTCACTTTTTTATTTTTTATACATAATTTTATTTTATTTCGATTTTCATTTTATTAAATCTAAATTAGCGCACTTAATAGTTGTTGGTTAATAATGAATTGAATAATAAAACAACAGATTATATGGCTGATGTTGGCGCAGTGGTAGGTCACTCGCTGGTTCGATCCCTGCCATAAGAAGTCTGATGAGGAGATGTGGTGATATCCGAAACAGCTGTCACTTCTACCATTTTTCTTTGTTGGATAACAAATATTCAATTCATACAAACAACAAGGCCTCGTAGTTTACTTAATAAAAATTAATTTATAGCTTGGCCGCAAAAACAAATTATAAATTCTAAATTACTTTAATTTATTTATGAGTGCATAAGTTCGTGCCCGATTTCAAGTGCAAACTAAAATTGAAATTTTTTGAAGAAAGCGCATTTGTTAATCAATCATGTATTCGCCATCATGTTCGGCAATCCACCCCCAACGTTCAACCAATTTACGGATGCCTGATTCATAGAAATCGCTCGGTTTCTCGTTGAAAAAGGTGTCAAGGTGGTTTTTGACGTCTTCCACATTTTTAAATTTTTTTCCATTCAAATTGTTCTGCAGCGATCGAAACAAATGATAATCAGAAGGTGCAATGTCGGGTGAATATGGGGGATGCGGCATGATTTCCCAATTCATCTCCTTTAGCATGTGGCCTGTCGTTGTCATGATGGAAAAGAACTCCTTTGCGATTGGCCAAAATCGGACGTTTTTCATCAATTTCTTTCTTCAATTCGACCAATTGCTGATAATACTTGTTGGCAGTGATCGTTTCTGCAGCTGGCAAGAGCTCAAAATAGATCACGCCTCGGATATCCCACCAAATGCACAGCAGTACCTTCATCGGATGCAATCAACCTTTCGACATCGGTTCCACCCCTTCATGTGCCTGTTCCCATGTTCTTTTGCGTTGAACATTGTTGTACAGGATCCATTTTTCATCACCAGTCACGAGCCGATCCAAAAAAGGTTCGTTTTTGATCCGTCGAAGCAAAGAAATTGCTGTTGACATACGGTCCTCTTTGTTTTTTTCACTCAACTGATGTGGCACCCATGTATCGAGCTTCAAAGTGTACCCAATCTTTTTTAAACGACGAAACGCAGTTGACTTGTTGACGTTCAATTCACTGGCAACCTCTTCCGTCGAAATACGTGAGTTATTCGCAACTAAAGTCCTTAGAACATCGTCATCAAGCTCAGAAGGCCGTCCACTGCGAGGTTAATCTTCGAGGTTAAAATCTCCAGAACGAAATTTCGCGAACCATTTATTTACTGTGCGGAGTGCTGGAGCACGGTCCAAATAAACTTCGCGAATATCTTTAGTGCAGCGCCTACTGTTTTTCCTTTGCGGAATTCGTATAACATAATATGACGCATATGATCTTTTTCGTTGTCCATCTTCCATGCGTCTTTTCACAAAGCAACTCAAATCAAAATGAAGTTTAGTTTATGCTTGATTTACAGTTCGGACTGTCACCTTTCCAACGATATATAATATGCATATATTTCTTTCACGAGCGCCACTCTCAAACGATTCGAACGGCATCCAGCGGAATCGGGCACGAACTTATGCACTCATCAATATTTATTTTTTATAATTTGTTATTCATTTCATTAAAAACAATTAATTAGGTTTTTAATTTTATAAAATTTCATTTTTTATTTTATTTTATTTCATTTAATTGTCTTTTATTAATTTTTTTTAATTTAATTTTATTTATTTTTTATAATTATCATTCAATAAATTTTACTTATTTCTGGCTTCTCCCTATTTCCACTTTTATAGCTTCCTGCCGGACTCCGCACGTGACACGGAAATAATTGCTGACTTCCTTAGCTTAAAAAATACCGATCATTTAGACATATTTACGTTTGCCGAATTACTGCAAATCGATTCAAAAAATCCACAATTACATCAGCTTTTTGCACTACTAGATCATGTAAGAATTTATTTTTTGTATTTAAAAAATTTTGATTTTTAAATCTTGTTTTTAATTTTAATCATTTTACTAACCGCCTGCTTATTTTCTTTTACAGTATCACAGATACACCGTTAATTTGAAGAGTTTCCTGATATGCTCACAATTTTGTAAATTAAAGAATGAAGAAATTATCGAATTTCTGCGTGCTATTACCAATGTAAGTCGAAGATAAATTTTGATATGTTTAAGTAATTTGTTGAAAACAAAGAGTAATGAATATTGACATGTCTTGAAGGTTAGACGTAAGGAAGTTAAAATGTTTCTTTACTAAGTCGTCTATAACAAAAGCCTTCCGAAATAAAAGCTCCATCGGCTATCAGGACGTACGTACACTACAAACACTGCGACCATTGCTTACAGGCTTCTCTTGAGCCCAATTCTTCACTCATTTGCCATAGACATAAATAGGTAGTAATCATTTGGTTCGTGGTTTGAACTGTGAGTTGGATTTATAAGTTCCAACCATGCTCTCAGAGTTGCTGTAGAGTCACAATCGATGTGGATGACTTCTTGCCAATCCCAGCAAACACAAAACAAACCGTTCCCGGCCGTCAATCCTGGCTTAATTATCGTTTGTGCCAGCTCACTGTCCTTTATCCGATTTCGAACGAAGCTGCTGTAAGCATCCATTTTCAATTTATCGTTAACTCATGTCACACCGCTACATCGAGCTTCTTTGTGTAACCAGCCTTCTTCAAGTGGCAAACTTTTTTTTTCGTGTAGTGTTAGCTACTGGACAATTGGAGCAGTGTTTGCAGGATGGTCAGACTGAACAAATTCCATTTTTATCGGCTTTATATTTACCTAGGGAATGAGCTATATACTTTTCGAATATGAAGCAAGTTGAGTCATGTATACGATATTTTCGAGATCGGTCCCACGTTCACTTCCCGGAAAATTCTTTCATGTCGCATACCTTATGTCGTACGCAGAACCCGCGCTTCCAGTTTTAAGTCTTCACGATGTGTAGTTTAGGCTATTGGCATCTATTACATATATATGTATGCTCTTATCTGTTTATAATCTAATTCTTCTCTTCCCCCTTAGCTCTACTGTGAGTCATCACAACATATAACCCGACAAAATTTCACCCGCATATTGAGGCACTCGGGCAAATTGACGCCGGATAAGTGTGACGCATTATACTTTGCTGTCGATAGAACGAATAGAGGCTATATAACGTTTGGTAAATGGATAATTTTATATAGAAATAAATAAAAAAAAATATTAATTGCATTTTATTTGTCTTTCATGCAACAGAGGACTTTGAGCACTATACCAAGGATCATCCACAATACAAATTTCTTTATGCGAAACAGGAACACTTAAGAAGAACACAAGCGGGTGGTAAAGTAAAGAAAACACATTAAGAAAGAGTGTTGGAAGTAATTAAAATAAAAGAAAAATAAAAAAAGATAAAAATTTAAAAAAGAAGCAAACGCTTGTGTGTGTGGATGTGCACGTACGTTGTGTGTTGAGTATTGCAACTACTTGGAGCTAAGTAAAGTATTAAAATATGTTTTTTTCGCTTATACAAGAATGTGTATTGATTTGTAACAATTTTCATTATATTCAAGCGAAAAAATCTCTGACAAAAGCAGAAAAACAAACAAAGTAAAACTAAGAAACAAAGTAAAGAGTAAAACAATTTCTTTACTTGTGACGCCAAAAAAGAAATATTTATATATAATATTATGAATAAGACGCAAAAATGTAAATTTAATATTTAATAAATTTGCAAAAAGTTGTTTTTGAAAGTAAACAAAATTAAAATGCCCAAAGAAATGTAATGAGCATAAAGTTAAGCAAGTATATAATCTTTTTTAAGTCAGCAAAAGTCACACACATACCAAGAACTAGTGTTAATACTACATACAACACACACTCAGCAATCTGAAACTATGAGTAACAATGCCATATTTATTTGGCTCAATATACTTTAATTATCATTAGTTTTTGCTATTATTTAATTATTTTCTTTAATTTTTTTTTAATTTAAATTTTTTTTTTTTGAAATATTTCTTCTCAATAATTTTGACTCTTTGTAGAAATAGTATATTTGAATTCAATATACTTGACCGACAGTTATATGCATGTAAGATGACAAACCAGAAAAAAAAACAAAGTGAAATATATACGTTAAACATTTACTAATTTTCTTTAATGCCAATTTATTTATGATACAAATATGTATATTGACTAAATTAAAAGTTTATGCGATTAATATAAATTTTGTAGGCGTCATGTGTAGTTGGCCAAATTTATTATGTAGTAGAAATAAAAAAATATTATTAATATATATGTTTGTATGCATATGGTTATTGAGAACCAGTTATTACATAAATATTTATTATATACATAGTATGTAGCTGCATATATAGGCAAATACCTGAAGTATACATTCAAACACTTAATATTAAATATATTATATACATCATGTATGTATGTATGTTTGCATATAAGTATGTAGTTGCTGCACATCGCCTGCATTTTGATTAAATTTATGATATTATGAATTGCTGATCTCTCCTTAATGCATTCACATGATGAAAGAAAGAGAAGATTATAAGAAAAGATATATATATATATATATATATATATATATATATAATATGTATGTAAGTTTTTTTTTTTTTGAACTCAACAACACAATTTATGAGTTTCAGTGTTCCTCTCATACATATACTATACACACACAACCAAACAAACAGACAAATATTCATATATATTAAATCATAATTTTGAGCAGCAAGCGTACTTATGTTCCAAGTTCATAGTTTTTAATAAATAATACTATACAAGCTTGGCCAAATTAACGTGCATATGTATATATGTACAAACACGTTGGCTTCTTTAAAGCAATTTTGCATAATTTTAAATTTCAGTACGCCAATTTTTATTTATTTTATTTTTTTAATTTTTATTAGTTTTTCTCTAAGTCAACATTTTACCAAAAAAGAAAATGAATTTTCACATAATTTCTAATAATTTCATTAAGCATTGCATTCAATTTCCTATTTAGTTACAAACGTACGCACCTAGTGTATCGCTTTATTTTAAGTTATCTGCTAGAATAAGCATAATATTTATTGCAAATAGTTTATTCTGATATTATAGTTATAGTATGAGTTGTAAAAAAAAAATTAAAAAAAAAAAACAATAAAAAATGAAAGAGCTCCAAGAGATTGTTTATGTAAAATCATAGCCGAGATGCAGGAAATAGGTTATTTCGACGAGTTCGGAGTTAGTTTCAGGGGGCGTACAAACAGGTGGTTTGTGTCATGCGAGCAGTTATTGCCTTAGATGTATCGGTTAAGTAAGAGTTGAGGCGACTTCTTCTTTGCTGACGTAGGCAGCGCTTACGAGATTAGAGCCGATTTTAAAACATTGCGCCACTCATTTTTTTTCGCTGTTTGGCGTCAATTGGAGATACCAAATACAGCTAGGTCCTTCCCTACCACATCTTTCCAACGGAGTGGAGGTCTTCCTCATATCTCATATAGCTCATCATTCCATCGGCTGTGGTATTCGCCGTACCCAACTCGTAGAGGACCATAGAACGCACGCAACACCTTTCTCGAATACTTCTAACGTCGGCTCATCAGATGTCAGCTTCCATGCTTCTGCTCCATATAGCAGGATGGGGATGCTGAGCGACTTGGACTTTACTTTTCAATTGCCTACTCACATACACTTTGTCAGCTCTTCATCGACATGTTTGAATACCTCCAGCCGCTTTGTTGTTCTTTAGGCGAGCAATCCGTCATAGCCAGATAATGGAACGTCTTCCATCGCCATCGATTAGGCTTTCGGGTTCACCATCTTCGGGTGTTCCGATTTCACAGCCATTCAGCAGTTTGGAGAAATGTTCCCTCCATAAATTCAATATAGATCGGATACTAGATTACCTTTTTTTGTGTTCTATCACGAGACATGCAGAGCTCTTAGTCTCCTTTGGGTGGTGGTTGGATTCCGAGTACGTTATTCACGGGAAGAGAGTTTATAAAAGCGTTGACTGACTCTCTGTTGGTATGTCGTCCTGTCCAGTGTTTCGGTTCGATGGTGCTGAATAGAGTTCTTTGAGCCGGGGCTAGTTGGTCGTTCAGCTTCTAGTAAGATATTGTTTACACGGCATGACATTATGCTAATGAACACGATCTTCATTAAAAAAAAAATGTTTTGTTTCTTTATTTAACTCCTGCTGGGCTGCAGGGCTTACGCCAAAGACAGAAAAAGCCCTACGACCACTGAATTATCAAGAGCAGATAATTTTGCAGCTCAGTTCCGACAAATGGTAATGTGTTTATTGTTACAGAGGCCACATTTGGGGGCTCGTTTTATATGCTTTTGAAGACATCGAGTACAGGATGATAAGCTCAGCAGATAATTAGAATGGAGAAAGATGTAGATAAGAGACCATAAAACCAATTGAAACGAGCACATCCAGAGCCACCAACGAACTTATCAATAACTAATATGATTCAACAATTCAGCAATATTCCACACATCCGCGATCCATAGCTGAATAGCATTGGGGGCGTTACATGGCTAGCGATAAAAAGTGACGCCCTGAATTTATTTTATAGAAGACCAATTGAGCTAACAGCCCAGTCTTGCTGCAGCAGCGTGTGCAGAAGCAACAAAATATTTTTCCGAGCTCAGTGTTTAAAAAAGAAGAAGAAATAATTGGAAATATTTAAATGCAGAATAAAAGTGCTTGATTTGCAAAACTATGTCGTCCAGCAGGATAACAACGCTATCCTGTCGCGCCGCACTGCTCTTACAGTTGTTGATATTTATAATTGTTCTTGAAGAACCCGCTGATGGTTTCGTTAACTCGTATGTGTTTAGTGGAGGCAATCGCATTTATACGCCCCTAAAAGTGTTACTTTTGCTCATTTGGCAACTTAAATTCTTTTTAGACCCAAAATCATAACCAAAGACGGCAATCTCATTGTGGAATCTGGACTTAATCGCAACATAACCTTTCACCTCGCTGGCACTTCACGCATTAACATCAACGATGAATATGATTTACTGGACCTGCTGCTGTTGAATGGCAACTCTAATAGCTCCGCATCGAGACGTAACAAGGACATCATTGAGGTGGATAGCTTAGCGCAACTCTCCAATGAGTTGACCTCGCTGCGGTTATATGTCTATGGCGCAAATGGTTTGAGTAAACGTTACAATACAATGGTGAACAGGTTAGTTGGTGCTGGAGTTGTTCCTGAAAGGGGGCGTGTTTCAATGAATTTAGTTTGAAAAAAATCGATTGTTTTTTTTTTTATTCTAGAACGCGTATGAACAATCAATCACTCCGTCGCTTCCAAACGCGTTTACAGCGCGTCGAACGAAAAGTGCAGACCCTGTCGAATCGCCTTGAATTGGATAGCTGCAAGAGTAATCCATGTGAGAATGGTGGATCTTGCATAAATATTTTTGGAAGTTTCATTTGTAAATGCACCAAAAACTTTGAGGTAAGTTTGGTGAGATCTATTATTATAGCCATGAGATTCGAAACTGAAGATTAGCTAAGACAAATACATGCCATTAGTTCAGTCGTGAATGCAAAAGCTCAATACACCTAAATGTTAAACGAGTCATGAAAAAATTTAAAATTTATGTTAGATGATTAGCTGCGGCTGAGTTTGCCGAACTGACTTGATGATTCTTTGTAACTGAGCAGTACGTATGAAAGGAAAACTCACCACGATAAATTTGCTTCGATAATGCAGTTCTTAATGTGTGGCAACCACGCTCGACTGAGTTACTAGCCGAGACTGGTCGCTCTCAGCAATTATCCCGCTCCCCTCAGCCACAACACAACGGCTTTTCTATTATTTTAAGCTCGAAAACGTGCCTTCGAAATTTTTCTCTCCCACTACAAGTGCAACTCAGATATGCAATTAACAGCTTCCCTCGGAAAATCCACCACCCATTCGACGCCGGCTTAAAACTTTGCGAACGCATTATAAACCGGAGTATTGAATACTTAAAGAATGCTTCTACTCTCGATTCGTGCTTGCATTCATAGAGAGACGTAATTACGTGAACCTATCTAAAGTTCCAAGTTCGGTAGCAAAGGCGCTGTCTTAAGTGCTATTTATTTGTACCCTCCATGTGTGATCCATATTTTAAGTATCCTTCATACAAGATCCCTCTTCTCCCTTGAAGATGTTAATTATTCTTCTAATTTACGTCACATTTCCTGAGATGGTTTTTTCCTTCACCCATGAATTACTTTATTTTTCCACAAAAATACACTATACTCGGTTGAAGTAACTCGGCGTCCTATAGAGCAAGTGACTGCGTCCGCGATCACAGATGGGTTTTAGTAGAATGTAGTACTGCTACTGGGATTGAAGTATCCTGGCAATTTAAGCACCCATTAAGTAGAACGGGGAACTATGTCACGTCTGCTCTTGGGTACCCGCTGAGAGAGTAAGTTACATTGTCTGTTTAGCGGGGGTGTAGTTGTATTCGAGCGTTGGTCTCGAGTAAATGAAGCTCAACAAAACCCACCTTTTAAGTTGTGTTGGAATTGAAAAGAAAGTAAACAAACAAAAGGCAGAAAAAGACTTTGTGTGAAGTCTTCCGCTAGTGCACCCAGCATTGGTAATTGACTAAGTAGACTCGTGAAAGTAGAATTCACAGAACTTCAGACCATTTTTCTACAATTTCATTTCTCTTAGGGCGCCACCTGTCAGAACGATGTCAATGAGTGTGCTCTCTATGCCGGCACAGATTTGGGTTGTCAAAATGGTGGACAATGTGTTAATCAACATGGCGGATATAATTGCATATGCACAGCCGGTTGGTATGGTATACATTGTACCCAGAGAAAGGGTGATTGCATGCAATCTTCAACATGGGAGCTCTGTGGTCACGGTACATGTGTGAGTAGCAACGATGATTTTGGTTATAAGTGTATCTGTGATATGGGTTGGAAAACGAATGGTCTTACACCGTCTTGTACGGTCGATGTAGACGAATGCAATGAGTCGCATCCACCCTGTGAAACGAAATGTATTAATTTACCTGGTTCATTTACGTGCGCTCCCTGTGCCGCGGGCTTGACAGGCAACGGTGTAAATTGTCGAGATATTAATGAATGCGAGCTACAAAATGGCGGTTGCAGTATGAGTCCACGCGTGGCCTGTATTAATACCTATGTAAGTATGGGAGATAAAGAGATATATAAGTATGGTCAATACCTTATTTTTGAACTTAAATAAAAAAATAAAAAACAAAAAGAAAAAAAAAAATAAAATAAAAAAAAAAAAAAAAAAAANAATAAAATAAAATAAAATAAAATAAAATAAAATAAAATAAAATAAAATAAAATAAAATAAAATAAAATAAAATAAAATAAAATAAAATAAAATAAAATAAAATAAAATAAAATAAAATAAAATAAAATAAAATAAAATAAAATAAAATAAAATAAAATAAAATAAAATAAAATAAAATAAAATAAAATAAAATAAAATAAAATAAAATAAAATAAAATAAAATAAAATAAAATAAAATAAAATAAAATAAAATAAAATAAAATAAAATAAAATAAAATAAAATAAAATAAAATAAAATAAAATAAAATAAAATAAAATAAAATAAAATAAAATAAAATAAAATAAAATAAAATAAAATAAAATAAAATAAAATAAAATAAAATAAAATAAAATAAAATAAAATAAAATAAAATAAAATAAAATAAAATAAAATAAAATAAAATAAAATAAAATAAAATAAAATAAAATAAAATAAAATAAAATAAAATAAAATAAAATAAAATAAAATAAAATAAAATAAAATAAAATAAAATAAAATAAAATAAAATAAAATAAAATAAAATAAAATAAAATAAAATAAAATAAAATAAAATAAAATAAAATAAAATAAAATAAAATAAAATAAAATAAAATAAAATAAAATAAAATAAAATAAAATAAAATAAAATAAAATAAAATAAAATAAAATAAAATAAAATAAAATAAAATAAAATAAAATAAAATAAAATAAAATAAAATAAAATAAAATAAAATAAAATAAAATAAAATAAAATAAAATAAAATAAAATAAAATAAAATAAAATAAAATAAAATAAAATAAAATAAAATAAAATAAAATAAAATAAAATAAAATAAAATAAAATAAAATAAAATAAAATAAAATAAAATAAAATAAAATAAAATAAAATAAAATAAAATAAAATAAAATAAAATAAAATAAAATAAAATAAAATAAAATAAAATAAAATAAAATAAAATAAAATAAAATAAAATAAAATAAAATAAAATAAAATAAAATAAAATAAAATAAAATAAAATAAAATAAAATAAAATAAAATAAAATAAAATAAAATAAAATAAAATAAAATAAAATAAAATAAAATAAAATAAAATAAAATAAAATAAAATAAAATAAAATAAAATAAAATAAAATAAAATAAAATAAAATAAAATAAAATAAAATAAAATAAAATAAAATAAAATAAAATAAAATAAAATAAAATAAAATAAAATAAAATAAAATAAAATAAAATAAAATAAAATAAAATAAAATAAAATAAAATAAAATAAAATAAAATAAAATAAAATAAAATAAAATAAAATAAAATAAAATAAAATAAAATAAAATAAAATAAAATAAAATAAAATAAAATAAAATAAAATAAAATAAAATAAAATAAAATAAAATAATATAAAATAAATAAAATAAAATAAATTAATTGTAATAAAAAATCCTTTAGGGTTCTTATCATTGCGGAGACTGTCCACTCGGTTGGCTTGGTGATGGACGGACTTGTGAGCGGCGCAGTGGGAGTATTGATAGCAACGGTGGTACCGCAACGAGTTGTGCGCTCAGCAACTACTGCCATCCGCTGGCGAAATGTACCGAAGTCTCCAATACAGTAGTTTGTTCTTGTCCACCGGGTATGGTGGGCAGTGGTGTGGGCTTGAATGGTTGCGTACAAAGTACACAACAGAACTGTGCTATGATGCCGTGTCGGGTACGCAAAACCAGTAGATTTTCTTATAAAAATCTTAAACCAAATTTTCACTCTCTTTATAACTGTAGAATGGCGGAACTTGTGTCGATTCCGGTAGCAAATTTATTTGCATTTGCCCCATGGGTTACCTGGGTCCAACCTGTACGGAAATGGTGGCGAGCCCATGCATACCGAATCCTTGTCATAATAATGGACGCTGTCGCTCCACTGGTGGTACACAATTCGAATGTCAATGTACGATCGGATTCAGTGGTCGTTTGTGTGATAATCGTTACAGTCGTTGTGGCGGTATACTATCCGGTATGACTGGACATCTGAAGTATCCAGAAGGTTCGGTTTATGATCACTTGTCTCAATGCGCTTGGGTTATACGCACAAATGTGTCGCTCGTGTTGAATGTAACATTTAATGCTTTCGAATTGGAAGATTCTACAGAATGCCGCTTCGATTGGTTGCAGATTAATGATGGCCGTAGTGCGGCGGCTCAAATAATTGGGCGCTTCTGTGGTTCACACAAGCCGTTGGGTGGCAATATAATTTCCAGTAGTAGTGATTTGTATTTGTGGTTCAGATCGGATAACTCGACAGCGAAGGAGGGCTTTGAGCTGGAATGGAATTCTGTACCACCACAATGTGGTGGCCTCTTGGACGTGGATTCACATGGTACATTAACTTCGCCAGGCTCACCAGGAAATTATCCGAAGAATCGCGATTGTCGTTGGCATTTGAAGGCGCCAAATAACAAACGCATCAAGTTGACTTTCTTCAATTTACAAATCGAGAAGCATGATAGCTGCAATTTTGATTACTTGGAGGTGAGTAGAAAGAAATAGCTAATGGTAGTCTAATGCTAAGCTTGATATTTGTACAATATGAAACCCATATTTTGCTTGTGGACTACTAATGAGTTAAATGAATTCCCCGAAGCTCCGCATGAATTGAAGTTTAATTGGTAGATGCGATAAGCGGGTTTTATAGCTACAACATATAGGTTCTCAATTAACTCCAAGACGAGGCTACAGTTTTCTAAGTTCCCGCTAGATGATTTCCGATCTAATCCTTGAATTGCAATTGTTTTAGTTGTCCCAGCACCTTGCTTCGACTGCCCTACTTAGGCGAAACAGAAAGACTCCAATTCTTTGTAAGGGTTATCGACGGGGTAGGAAAGAGCTGGGGACTGTGTTGGAGGCAGGTACGTGTGTATTGCCAAACTGAGTATTTCCCGGAGATCTATAGTTTCCACCTGGTGACGAAGATAAACTTTTTATTTTCTGATGTTGGTCCTGTACACGATCGGATGACTCTCCGGGAAGTTGGTTCCGCTATCTTTCGCTCGATTATAGCAACATCTACGAATAATTATAGGAAAGTTCGTTCAAGTCGGAAAAGTTTTTGACTATTATTCACCTGTGTGTTAGACCAAGTAGTCTCTGCTTAGCCAGGAAATCTTAGTTTATGGAAATGCACCCGGAGCGTCCGATTCCACATTTGGGGAAGGCCGTTGATCAGCTGGCTGATGTCATTGTAAAAAATACAGCTGACTTCATCATCATCCAAGAAGTACTATAGGCGGGGTAAGGACGTGTAGACGGTTCTTGTGAAATTTACTACAGGGGCCACATAAAGGAACACATATATAACCGAGCCCCAACATGAACCACTGAGATTGTACGTTTTGCCACAATTCGTATTAAAGCAAAGTTCTTGAGCTTAAAAAGTGTCGACTGTGGAGAGTTTATATAAATTATGAGTAGTCGGCCTGGACCAAACTTTCATTACCCGGGGACGCATGATCTTGAATCATAGCCAGGCTAAAACCGAAATGATTTTCTAAATCCGATTGGCCCTTAGTAGGGAATATCAAGTAATCGGAGTGCATTCCTAACAAAAAAACCAATCAACTCTTCGATGGCGGCTTAAAAATGTAGTTATTCCTTTTTTTTTATAAAGCATCAGGAGGAGTATAACATCTTCCAATAAAGCGAGCTCCCTACGATTATGATTTCTTACTGAGATTTTAATTTAACCTTGATTCATATGAGCATTTATTTTGTTACCCAATTTGATATCCAACAATCTGTTAGCCATATACACTGGGATGCTCAAGTCGAGGTCAACCCCAGGAACCTCTCCCTCTCCCTCTTTTATTTATATTTTATGTCCTCTAGAGGATGTGTTCATTCTGGTATTCAGCCTTACCAATAGATATTTGGTAGATTTTTGAGTTCTTTTTATTTACACCTTCAATTTTATGTAGATCATCGATGCAATTGCGGATACAACCGTTGTAAAATATTGCAACTCTACAGCACCGTCGCCGCTAATGCTGCCTACCAATGAAGCCATCATACATTTCCACTCGGACAATATCGATACTGATGCGGGTTTCCAAATTTACTACTCAACCGAAGAACGTGTGCCGGGTTGTGGTGGTACATATACCACTAAACAGGACACAATCAAGTCACCGATTGTGCAGGGCGATTCAATATCCTGTGAATATGATATAAAGCTACCGATGAGTGAATCGATACGAATCGAATTCATCAAATTCGAAATGGAAGCAGAGGACTGTTTGGAGGTGAGCACTCATATAGATACGAGTAAATAGCTAACTGTAAGTAATACTGATGTAAAGTGGAATAATTGGCGCTCTCTTTTCTCTTGCTAGTTCTTCGACATACACCCGAACACACACGAGCTCTTGCTGCAGGGCAAGTACTGTGGTGGATATGCCTCTGTGATGCCTGTAACATTGCATTCTTTGTACAATGGGCTGCGTATTAAATATTTCGCAAAGGGCGGCAAATTCGAATTGAAATATAAGGCTGGTGAGTAAGCGGCGGCAGGCATTAATATTTTTATAATTTAATATTGCATACTTTTTTCTTCTTTTCAGATTGTTCGTACACCTTTGAGAGCCCCAGCGGCGAGGTTATATCGCCTGGGTATCCAGAATTGGGTAACATTGAACGTTTTTGTAGTTATAAAATCGTCACGGAACCAGACACTGTCATATCGGCTAAATTTATCGATTTCGATATTAGAGACAGCAGTGTGGATGCTGAGAATTGCGCCTTTAGTTCACTTAGGGTAGGCTATTTTTGCTGCTTCTCGATTGTGCGTGAAACCAAGAAACTTTTTTATCTCGTATTTTTTTCCCCTACATACAGATCAACGCTCGTCTCAATCAAAATATTATGGGTCCGTATTGTGGCAATAGCACGCCGCCTGTCGAGTTTGTGGCCAAATCAAATATGTTAATATTGACCTTCCAAACTGGTGTAACTACTTCGGGCAAAGGCTTCAAAATGGAGTATCGTTCAATTCCGATGGGTAAAACGGATTGTGGTGGCGTCTTTACAAAGCCAGGCTATAAGATACGCTTACCCATGGGCGAAGATAATACGTATATGAACAATTTGGAATGTTATTGGGTTATAATGGCACCGGAGGGCAAAGGTATAATGATCAATTGGAATTCCTTCAATATAGAACAGACAATGGATTGTATGTATGATTATGTCGAGATCTACGATAGTTTGGCGCGTGAGGAGATAGATAAGCCGTTGGGGAGGTAAGTAGAGTTTGACTTTTCAACCCAAATATTTAAATAAAGCCCATCGCCCTGACGACTGCAGCTCGTGTTAAGATTCGGAGAGTCATGAGTTCAACATCTGGCCTAAAACGGTATTTCTTAATTTGATCCCTTCTCTACAGGATAGGAGCGCTAGTCATAAATATACCAAAAACTAAAAATTTTTTTTTTAATACATCGTGAATACCGAAACCTCTGCTGCTCATAAAAGTCTTTCAAAATGCTTTTTACATATATAAGGTTGTCAAATATCTCCCTTCCGCTTTTTTGTCTTTTGAATTTCGCGGCTATGTACAAAGCGCAACACTTTACATAATTTGAAAGGTCTTGACATAACCTATAAAACAACGCTATGCATGACTAGTTTGGATATTGCGTCCAACAGTTATAGACGTGTAAACATGGAGTTCACTAACGCCGAAATTCGCGCTTCGTTAAAGGCAAATCCGCTAGAGAAACGTTCCGTGAGATTAATGGTTATCACATCGAACCGCGGAGGAATGGTTTCGACGATTCAGAGCCGGTGAAAACGACACCATGGATAGGCCAGCCGGCGGAAGACCTGTGACGACAAATACCAATCAAATCATGGAATACATCGAGTTAGACCGGCATATGGTATCTCGTGACATCGCCCAGGAGATGGGAGTTAGTCACCGAACCATTTTGAACCATCTGCAGAAGGCTGGATACAAAAAAAAGTTTGATGTTTGGGTGTCGCATAATTTGACGTAAAAAAACCTTCTGGACCGAATCAACGCCTGCGATATGCTGCTGAAACGGAACGAACTCGACCCATTCTTGAAGCGGATGGTGACTGGCGACGAAAAATGGATCACATACGACAATATCAAGCGAAAACGGTCGTGGTCGAAGGCCGGTGAATCGTCCCAAACAGTGGCCAAGCCGGGATTGACGGCCAGGAAGGTTTTGCTGTGTGTTTGGTGGGATTGGAAGGGAATCATCCATTATGAGCTGCTCCCATATGGCCAGACGCTTAATTCTACCATCTACTGCGAACAACTGGACCGCTTGAAGCAGGCGATCGACCAGAAGCGTCCAGAATTGGCCAACAGGAAGGGTGTAGTGTTCCACCAGGACAACGCCAAACCACACACTTCGTTGATGACTCGGGATGGGAGGTTTTATCGCATCCACCATATAGCCCGGACGTAGCGCCAAGTGGCGAATGCCCTTGGTGGTGTGAAGTTGAACTCAAAAGAGGCTTGTGAAAAGTGGCTGTCCGAATTCTTCGCAAATAAGGAGGGGGGCTTCTCGAGGAAGGTATTATGAAGTTGCCGTCTAGATAAAAACAGATCATCGAACAAAACGGCGCATATTTTAACTAAATCCGATCGCTCTAACACTTTATAAAGCATTGAATGAAGAGCAAAAAAGTGGATGGGAGTTTTTTGACGTTTTGTGACCGCTTAAGCGATGTCCCAAATACACTCAGAGGTGTGGACATTTTTATTTAAATTAATTTTCCATTAGTTTTTGGATGTTAGTACGACACCAGGTTTTGAACACGAGCCTTCCGAATTACAGTACGCAATGCTAACCACTCGGTTACCACGGCCGCTGTGAATTCAGTGGGTCTTTGAGACAACATATCTTTGACTTAAAACAGTAACCTATCTAATAAACCCTATGATGAATTAATAAAAATATTAGACTGATCAAACATTAGCCCAGAGCTTTGCATTGATACTTCCATGGTCCGCTTCTAGTACTGAGTTTGACCGACATCTAATCCTTGAGTATACCCGTAGTACTTTTTCCATGTGTACAAAATTTTATTCTTACAAGCTCTATGCGATATCATTCAAGACGGTCTAAGACAGATAGAGAAGTGGATTTTTGATGATGGCTTAGGAATTAACCCATATAGCACGAGGCTTGTTTCCAAATCTTTTAAAACAACCAAGCCGTAATAAGAGCCCCAAAAAACTTTGATTTAAAAAGCCATAAGAGCATTAAACGCCGTTTTAGCCATCTCGGTGTACTAGCCATGGGCAAAGTTATGCTCCGGAGTAGTAGATCAGTTTGGTAGCCTGAAACTTGAATAGACAGAGAGTATGCACAAAAACAAAACATTTACTTACCCTTCTATGGCATTTTCGAAACCTAAACGTCGAGTCTGTAAAAAAGCGGGAGGAAATCAAGATTTTACAGAACCTATGGTGACAATGAAGAGAGGACTATTAAACTATTATGTGTACTAACAATTCTGGTTAAGTTTCTGCCACGTTTATAATGGACTCTTCCAAGTCCGTCTAAGCAAACTAAGACCTTTCGTAATATTCGTAATATTTCACCTAATTTTGATTGCTTTTTGATTTCAGAGTAAGATAGATATATTTTATAACATCCTCCCACTCATATTGACCTAAAAATCATCGCTTTTCAGGTATTGCGATTCGCCACCATCGTTTTCGAGCCACTCACGTCTTCTGACAATCAAATTCGTATCGGACAGCTCAGAGAGCGGTGAGGGTTTCGAGGCCACATATGAATTTGTAGATCTCTCCAAACAATGTGGAGGTGAAATATTCTCTTCAACCGGACGGATTTTCTCACCCGGCTATCCAACGAATTACACAAATGACATTGACTGTATTTGGGTACTCAACACGCCGGAAAATACACAAATCAAACTCGATTTGGACATGTTCGAGTTGGAAGCGAGCGATGACTGTGAGCATGATTGGCTGGAGATACGGTGAGCTTGATGTTAACTCAAATATATATTTGTATATTAATGTTTCACCATTTAAATTACAGCAACGGCGGCTCCGAACAATCCCCGCTGATCAACAAATATTGCGGCAGTAATATACCACGGCAAATACCCTCATTCACCCATCAGCTGCGTCTGCACTTCCACAGTAACAGCTTCGTCAGTGCGCGTGGTTTCCAAATACATTGGTATGTCTACTCGAACGGCTGTGGTGGTAATTTGAAATCGGATAGCGGCGTAATAGCATCGCCACGCTATCCGAATTCATATCCGCACAATGCCGAATGCGATTGGCATGTACAAGTGCCGAAGGGTTCCGCCATACATTTTACCATTGAAGATCTCGAGATTGAAGAACTATTCGAATGTCATTATGATTATTTGGAAATATTCAATGGACGCACTGATACACACCCGCTTTTGGCGAAACTGTGTAAGTTGGAGCGAGATGAGCAGAAACACTTGGCAAGCACCAGTAATGAAGCACTGCTGCGTTTCCGCACCGATGGCAGCCAAAGAGATCGAGGTTTTCTCTTATCCTACTATTCGAATTGCACGCGGACGATAACCGATATTAATGGTGTTATCGAGAGTCCAAATTTCGATAATCCTTACTATAAAGACCCTATTAATTGTTCGTGGACCATTCAAGCGCCAAAAGGAAATCAAATTGTTTTGCAATTCTCACATTATGAGCAATACGAAAATGGTCATGCTCTTGTGTTCGAAGAGCCCGGCAATAATGGAACTACAATACAGCCGCTCGCACCAAATGAAAACTACACTTCGACGAGCAATGTACTGACCATAAAACAGGATAGTCAGTGGTTGAATTTCCGCTTGGAATATATAATGTTTGGTTGTGTACAAGAGTTTCATCGTGAGACAGGCGAATTCCAATCACCGAAATATCCGCTACCCTATCCCAATGATTTGGAGTGTTTGTGGCAGATAAAGACAATACCGGGTCAGGGTGTTGAGCTAACAGTGACTGATATGGATATAGAAGAGACAGCTAATTGTACGAATGATGCGCTGGTGGTAAGATTTGTATTAAGTTTTTGATTAATACCTTATAACCTCACTTCGGTTCTGGAGAGATTTTTAATAATATTCCTTTTCTTTTACCTCACAATAGATATCCAGTCATGCGGTTAGTACAAATTATAAAGAGCGGCATTGTGGGCATCAGAGTAACTTGGTCATTACCAGCTCCAGTCATCACTTGTTTGTGCGTTTCATCAGCAATGAGAAGAACAATGGAAAGGGCTTCAAGGCCGCTTATAAGATACTGAAGTCACGTAAGTACCTCTCGAACAGAGCGGGGAAACAGTGAGGTCTCTTTTAAACTAAAGATTGAATATAGTTGAAACGGAGCTGATTTGTTGGCTTACTATGACGGAAATATTGGATTATATGGAAATCAAGAATAGCATTATAATAGTAGAAATGCTCCAAAATTCGTTTGCTGTCCAAATGTGGCTTTGAGCTGAGAGCTAGAGCTCATATTATTCCCTGCTTTGAGGTAGCTCACACGGACTTGCTCACATTGTCTTACCGTTGCTACTTTGTATAGACAATACTAATCTCAAACCAAAAGAAGACTTTGTGGCAAGTTTCGAAATTTCAACAATCCAATTCTTTGGTGTCGGTCGCCGTAGCCGAGTGGTAAGCATTGCCTACTGCCATTCGGAAGGCTCGGGCTCAGATTCTGATGTCATACTAACATCAAAAAAAAGTTATAGGAAATTCATTACAAAAAAAAATAAAATAAAAAAAACTAAGTTACATTTTCCGATTGCGGTCGCCCCTCGGCAGGGAATGTCAACCCCTCCTAGTGTATTTCTGACATGAAGTAAAGCTCCTCATAATAAAACATCAGCCGTTCGGAGGCGGCTTAGTATAAACTTTAGGTCCCTCCATTTGTTGAAAAAACATCAAGACGCAAAACCACAAATTGGAGGAGGAGCTTGGTCGAAATTCACTCATCAATCAATCAATCATTATACATATATAATTTCTTAGTGTCTTCAGTTGATTACATTGAAAGCGGTTAAGTTACTGCTGCTTTAGGTTGGACGGCCTTAATAAATAACTAATCGTATGCCGCATTTGTCGAATGGTTCATTTTTCTATTTGCGGTCGTCCATGGACAGGGGATGTCAACCCCTACCAACGCATCAGCCGTTCGAAGAGGTCTTAGACGAAATTGTAGGTCTCTCCATTTGCTTAAGGTGCTCACCTCCATTTGAAAAAGTATCTCGGCTGGAAATCACTTCTAAAAAAAAAGATCTTTTCAAATTAGCCATTAGCCATTCAGAGGCAACTATAGACCATGTCATATGTGGGAAAACATCAGGACGCCCGCCACAAATTGGTGAAGTAGCGCGACCGAAAATCTCTAAAGGGGCAGAAAATCCTAGCTTTCCTTGACCCAGTAAGAGAGAGAAGTGATTTTGAAGTGATTGCTTTTGGCTCACAATGTGAGGTGATATTTTAGCGGCTGAGCTATTCAAATGTGACATTTCTGTTTTCTCCAGAAAGCGATTCAAATATGCCAGCGTCAACACTAAGAAGAATTTCAGCTTTGCAATCCAACGAAGTTTTTCGTTTCCTTTGCCTTTGTTTACTCTCGGACAAACACCAAACTTTACATGGCCCTCATTATTATTCCTGACCTGCTGTATGGCACAGAAGGCTAGACAATGAAGAGCGGCTGGAGTGCTGTTTTTAATTCGACTAAATGCGCGTAAAGGGTGCCTACGCCGAAAAGTAGTAGAAGAGCCGCTATGCTGCCCTATCATATCTGAACTTCCAAAAAACTTGGCGGGGTATAGCTAGGATTGTTGAAAGGACACATTTTCGGTTCCGGAAATTTCTTTGCTGAGCTTTAAGGGCGACAATGAAAATTTTGTACTTTATTTAGTACAGTGATGTGCCCTTTAAATGCAACCGAAATTCGCCAGATTTTAAACTTTTTTTAACAAGAAATTTTTCCTTTGTTTCCCCGGCACAGAATGTGGTGGCGTGCTAACGAGTAAGCATGGTGTAATCACTTCACCAAATTACCCACTCAATTATCCAGCGGATGCTAAATGTGAATGGACTATCGAAGTGACACTGCATCACACCATAACTTTGACTATGGATGAAATTGAAATGGAAAACTATTATTCCTGCGAAATGGACTACGTGGAGGCATATGAAGGTGCCAACAGTGATAGTGTAACACCAGCGGAAGAGGGAAGACAATTGTTCAAAGAGTGTGGTGCCAGCGATTCGCAGGAGACCGAATGGCAAACCAAAACTAATACAGCGATCGTTCGTTTCGAAACTGATGATAGCGTACAATCGAAGGGCTTTAAATTGAGTTTCAAAGAGGTATGTGTAATTGTTTTAAAATAAAATGAGTTTTTTAATGGCTGCTCTTGTCTCTCTGCCTCCCTTATCCCTTGTGCTCAATCGCAGAACTGTGGTCAGACTATTGAAGTTACTGGCGATGACATTGGCTATATATCGATTAGTAGAAATTCGATATCGAATGAAACGTGCGAATGGCATTTGAGAGCCAAGGATCTTACTAAACACGTACAATTCACACCGACGCATGTACAACTGAGTTCTTTAATGTCGCTGTCGTCCATAACGGAAGAGGAATGCAGCGATCAGGGTGTTAAGGTACTCTTCATACACTCCGAATTTTGCATTTATACATTTTTATTTATAAAAAAAATTATTTTCTCACTTAGATATTTGACGGCGCCGACGATACAGCTCCATTGCGCAGCAAGTTCTGTAAAACCCATGCGCCTAACATCATCTCCAATGGCCATGCGCTCACCATACAAGTCCCCTTGAATGTCACAACCGAGTTCGAGGGCTATTATCTGCTCATGGATAATTGGTGTGGTGGTTTTTATACATCGTTAAGTGGCAAATTTGCTTCACCCTACTATCCCTCATCATATCCCGTGAATATCGACTGTGAATGGTATATTATGGCAAACGAAGGCAATTCGATGGTACTCACAATTGAATCATTCGATACGGAGGCGTCGGAGGGTTGTAATAAAGATTATGTGGAGGTGCGTGAGTCTACGGAAAGTGGACGTTTGTTGGGTTTGTACTGCGGCAATGATATACCACCGCCCATAACGGGTGTACAATCGTTGTGGGTGAAGTTTGGCAGTGATAATGATGGTGTAGCTAATGGGTTTTTAGTTTCCTATAATTATGGTGAGTACATTTATAGAATAGTTGAGTTTGTGGCAAAATAGCAATGACACAAGTTCGCTTTCAGCTACTCATAATGAGATCAGTGGCACAAATGGTACTATAGAATCACCACGTTATCCCAGCAAGTTCCAAACAGATGAGCCGTACTCCTGGCGCATAACAGTTGACAAAGATTATGTAGTAAAGCTGTTGATAAGCCATATTCTCGATGTGGATATGCCATTTATTAAGGTAAGACTACGGTTGAATTTACATAGTTACATAAGGAGATGAGGTCAGGCTGTTAAGGATATTAACTGGTGCTCTCAAGGAAACTACTTATATCCGTCAAGGTTTTGTGACTGATGCATTACATGTACATGTGGACATTCCTAGAGAAAATAAATAACTGTTTCTCTGTAATCTAACGATGGGATATAAATTATCTGTTCAAGGATATTTGCCAGTAAAGCATTCTCCTGATCGTTCCTAACAGATATAATATTAACATTATTTTAGATGTTCCATACCAACTGAATGACCCAAAAAAAAATGTTCCTATGTCCGGGAGCCCAGATTATATTGTAGATTCTTCTTCTTTACACCACAGAACTTTTTCATTAGACTCCACAGGTCTTTTAAATGCCTAATACTTCCGCTTGGAATATGCTGACTCAGTTCGGTACACCCAATCTCTCCTACAGCGCACTCCTTTTTCAACCCTTTACCTTATAACCTCTGCACGGGCTTCTCTTTGTATCCCTATTAACTTCTAACATTATTTATTTCTTTAATATTGGCCATTACAAAGGCTCCATCTGCTAAAATTAGTCTAATAACTGCCAGGGATGATTATATGAGTATATTTCGTGTTAGGCCGCAGTTGTTTCTAAGTATTCACTTACAGTGCATCTATATACAGTGCGAAATACCAGGGGATCCAACGCGCTTTTTTACAGCTTAGTTCGTTAGTATTGAGATTGTTCGATCACAAAACTCTGATGAAGCTCACTTAAGTCTGAAAGCTGAACGAAAGTTCTGCGAGACAGCCGAAATTAAAACTACCGAGAATATGATGTTGTGCCACACCGAAGACTAGGCATAGGCACTTTATCTATGTCTTTGAAGCTGTGACAGAAGTCATTAGGAAAGTAATCCATTCTTCTACCATCCGTCCCCATCAGACAAAGTGCGGTTATTACGCCGTTTGTTACTCTCATGAGGCGGTTGGGGAGTCGTGAAAACTAATATTGGCTAGAATGACATTCAGAAACCTTTAGTGGAGAATGGCAATACCCTTAAAATTTAGTGGTTACCGAGGAAACATCGACATTACACTTAGGCCAGAAAAACATCTGAAAAATTCCGGTACACTAGATTCGTCTATGCTTAAAATTTCTGACGTGCCACATTAGACCAATAACCAGATATAGAAATATGTTCACCAAACTTCAAAACCTAACCAATTGAAGACAATCGCATAATAGATTATTTTCTCTTTCCCACCATCCTTGCAGCTTACGCAGTATGTCCTAACAGACAACCGCCTGTCAACCTTATCTTTTATTCTTTTATCTTGGATATGACTTTTCCTTTTAAATAAGTGCATTTATCTCTTTCTGCCCATTTCGACAACGTTGTACTAGATTTCCAGGAAGTTGTAGTTTCATTCGACCATAACGCGGTCTGTGTGAAGATAAATACGTTAATGAGTAGCTTGAATGTCTCAAAGGGCATTCGATTTGTTATCGTTAAAAATCCACTTGATCATGGCTTGTTCTTCCCTCGTATAGTCGACTTCGTTGTCGCTATGACCACTGACCAATGGGAAAGATAGTCTGTTCGGTTTGGCTACCATTTGTAGAGGTCTGCTACAATCCACCATAATTTTAGTGTCTTGTGAAATCTCATCTCAGCCCATCGATTATTGCTATTTTTTTATTTTTCATAAAAATTCATCAGCTATCTAGAGACGGTTTAGACTGACTGATATTGTTTTTACTCATAAACTGTCTCACAAAAGCGCTGCAGTGGAAAGGAATGCTGATATGACTCTACCGACAAAAGCAGTGAAATTCTGCTTTCAGCGCTACCTCCTTCACTCTTTCGCGATAACAACGAGGTCAAGAAGGATTAAAAGCTCTTCCAGTTTCCGTTTCGACAGTTTCTGTGCATACTCAGCATACAACTGATTTCTCTTTATCTAGCTTATGGAGATGATATGTATGACTGGAGTAGATGCTTTATTGATATGCCCATAACAATGCTTGGTTTCCTTTTGTTTGATGCAAATAACAGTTTGGTCTATCTACTATCCACGCTTCTTCACAATATTTTGGTAGTACATCCTAAGCTAGTTAAGTGTTCCACTGGTTTAAACAATATTTCTAAGCACTAAAGAGTCTGAGGCATCCGATAACGACAGCCTCGCCAGCAGCGCAAATATGACCACGCTCGTCTGAGTTTTCATTGCCTTCTACATCCGTTTGACATGGGGATTCCAGTGATATTCACCGTGTTTTCTTGCTGTAGTATATTAATTGGCTTCTTAGCTTGACATCTGCAAAGTGTAACGCTCTTATATTGAGAGTTACAGGTTGAGAGCGACATGTTTTTCTCTGTGCTTAGCGATTTAGAGCTGAAAACAATTCTATTTATATAAAGGTAAATCATAAAAAAATAATCATGTACATATACTTTCGACAGATCTACGATGGATATTCGGACATTGGATTACAGATCGATTATTCGACAACAAATTTTCTAATCTCAAGTACAAACATAGTCTACATTAAGGCCACGCGCGGACCTTTTCAACTCGAATGGTCGACACTTTCGAAAGAGGAATGGAAAAATAATCAAACTCTGGAAGAGAGTAAGGCCATCTGTGGCCAAAATTCGTATACTATTAACAGTGGGGTATTTGTTTTCATTAGCTCACCCGGATATCCTTATGGTTATGCAAGCTCGCTTAACTGCAGTTGGCTATTAACGCCTTCAAACCCTGCCACGCACGTTATACTGCAACTGACCAAAGTGGACTTAGAAGATCTAAGTGATTGCATTGCAGACTATCTAACGGTTTCGACGAGTAATGATATGCAAAATTGGGTGGAGTCCGAGAAAATGTGTAAAAAGAAGGAGAACGAGGTAAAAGAATACCATGGCACACCATTTGTCAAGCTTAGATTTGTCTCCGATGTAAGTATCAACAAGACCGGCTTCATCGCACGTGTCAAAGTTGGTTGTGGCGCAGAGATGACTGCTCGTCAGGCTTTAGTTAATCTCACCAATACCTTGGATGGCATCAATCGCATGCAAACCGAATGCGTGTGGAAAATACAAGTGCGCCAGAGTCGACGTATACGTATACGATTTTTAGAATCCTACCTCGCGCCAGCAAATCAAGTGAACAGCTGTCGCGCCTACTTTTTGGTGCGCAACGGTTTGGCGGAGGACTCACCCTTCTTGGGTAAGGGTAAATATTGTGAGAATAATATTACGGATGTGCTGGAGACCACCTCGAATCGGGCGTTTATAAAATTCACACGCACTTCTGTCGGCCTGAGCTTTAAGGCCGCTTTCTACTACGAGGAGATAAGCCACGAGTGCTCTGATGTGTTGATTTTAGACGAAGAGACACTTTTAGCACGTACTAAAACCATAACTTCACCAAATTATCCCAACATACCGAACCCACATTCCGAGTGCATTTGGCGTGTGCAGGCGCCCACACATCACGTAATCACCGTTGAGTTTAAAGATAAATTCGACTTGGCCACGTCGGATAGCCAGCCTGCGGGCACTTGTGATCGCGAGTATATACAGTTAAATGATGGCGCCACCGAACTAATGCCATTGCTCGGCGTCTTCTGCGGTAAAACAAAGCCAAACTCTTTAGCTACAACGAGCAATGTTTTACGCTTCAAATATTTCACTGACATATCCGAACCGCATATCGGCTTCAAGGCGATCGTTTCGATCGGACGCTGTGGTGGCTCATTTTATGAGACTCAGGGCGAAATCAATTCACCAGACGGTGTGCTACTAAATGACAAACTCGACTTTGAGTGTGTTTACACAATCGAGTTGGAGGGTGGCAGTACAATTAAATTGATTGTGGAGCAAATGGACTTGCCTGATACGGAGAACTGCGCGTCAGGCAGCAATTTGGAATTGCAAGAGATCGTTTCATATGACGGTGCAGACAATGTTACAGATTCTTTGCGTATCTGCGGTAACCGAAAGAATAGAGGTTACATCGTTGAGACCAATAAGTTGGTTATACGCTATCACGTAAAGAATTATACCCCCAGTATGCACACATTCCAACTCACATACACCGCCATCGGTACACGTTGTGGCGAAACGATTACAGCGAATCGTGGCATGCTCTATACACCCGGTTATCCGCAGGGCGTTAATCGACCGACGCATTGCGCGTGGAAAGTGCGCGTACCGAAGGGTAAACGTGTAAAAGTCGAGATACTCGATTTCGACACGGGCGCGGCGTTGAATGCAACCAACTCGTTCGGCCATGTCAGCTCGTTCCGTGGGCGACTTGCCTTTGCCAATGATTTCGAAATGCAATCGATTATTGCGCGTGTCTCTGGCAATCCACCTGCAGCAATTTACTCTACGGACAATATAATGGCCATTGATGCCTTCCTCATATCGTATAGTCAACATCGTGGTTTCCGCCTGCGTTTCACCTCGGACGAGGACTCACAGGTATGTCGTCATAACATCGATCTGAGGCATGGCGAGGGTTTCATGCGATTTACGCGTCAAAATGAAAGTGACATCTACTGTAGTTATCCGCTTAAGATGCGTGATAACGAAACGCTCGCACTGCGTGTGGAGAATTACGAGAAGAATATGACATCTGCACTATATGCCGGATTCTGCAACTACATAACGCCATTGAAGCTGGAGCTGAACTCGCAGCCGATATTGCAAGACTTTTTATGTAGTAATGAAACGCATGCCGTTGCGCGCCTACCTTATCCAGTTACTATGAAATTACTCGGTAATAGACGCAATAAGCTCAGCAGCTTGGAGTTGAGCTATAAAGTTTATAAATGCGGCGGTATACGTTCCGTTTACACGGATCTCAACATCACGCAACCACAAATGGCGAATTACAGCGGCTCCTTGGAGTGCGCTTGGGCTGTTTGGCCCAATAATGAATTCAGTGTAGACGATATGGAAGATCTGGACTACTATTCGGCGGGCACTCAGCTCGGAGTCACGCTATCAACGGACTTCAAAGGCAGTTGCGAGGATCAATATCTCATTTTGTATGGCGGCCCGAATCAGAATTTCCCACATCTCGGTCGTTTCTGTACGCAATCCTCCATGGAAAATGTGGTTGTGGAGCGTGGCCTATTTGTGGAGTATTACACGCATAATTACGAAACGCAGTCCAAGTTCAATTTAACGTTGAAGCAAGGCAGCGGTTGTGGTGGCAAGCTTTCTTATCCATATCGTCAGATATCCTTTAGTGATCAGTATAAACATAATATTGAATGCATATGGGAGCTGAGCACGGAGCCAGGTTTCCACATTGGTCTCTACTTCACCTCTCGCTTCTTCATTGAGTCGAGCACAAATTGCACGAAAGATTATCTATTGGTGCAACAGTTGGCGTTGAATGGTACTTGGCAGGAGCTGGGTCGTTATTGCGGCCGAGAGCCGCCAAAATCTGTAAATAGTACAACGACACAGATGCGTTTGATTTTCCGCACTGACGCCGATACGTTGGGCGATGGCTTTACAGCGAATTTCGAAAGAAATTGCGGTGGTATACTCTATGCGACCAGCACTGAGCAATATATGCCTAGTCCCGGCTATCCGGTACGTTATGACAACAACCTCATGTGTAATTACACGGTGGTGCCAAAGGAGGAAACGAAGTCGAGCGTATTGGTCGACTTTATCGACTTTGAGATCGAGACACCGCCCATCACACGTTGCCTCTTTGACAATGTCACGATCTATACATACAATGGCGATGACGCTGTGGAGTCTGTGCATTGTGGCACACTACGCGCGCATAGTTTTCGTGGCGACAAAGTCACCGTAATACTACGCACAGATCACTCATTTGCGTCGCGCGGCTTCAAGTTCGCCTACAGCACGAATGTGTGTGGCGGTATCGTGCATAATAGTACGGTTATCGAGACGCCGCATGAATATTCGGATGGCAGTTTACCACCACATACCGAGTGTTTTTGGAATCTTACCGCGCCAGCTGATTATAAAATACTCATTAAGTTTGAACATTTCGATTATGAGAGTGGCCCGACTTGTGACTATGATGGCGTCAATATATACAAGTCTTTGTATCCGGTAGAGAATCAACGTATTGGGAAATTCTGCGGCAATCTAACTGGTCTCATACCACCGCTACACATCAGTGGCAATCGTGGTCTCATACACAGTTACTCAGATCGTAGCGTCAACTCGATAGGTTTCAAGGCGATTGTCACCTTCTTGCCTAATTGTGATGATAAGATCTTTCTGGGTATGGATAATACCACATATGATTTTGTGAAATACGTTAACGGCTATGCAAATAATCTCGATTGTGCCTACATATTTACGACGCCGCGTGGTCGTCAGTTGTTGGTCGATTTCAATAGTTTTCATTTGGAGGACAGCGAAAAATGCCAGTCCGATTTCTTAGAAGTACGTGATGGCGGTGGTCCATACGGTGATCTCATTGGCAGATTTTGCGGTCACACTTTGCCACAGCGTATGATGTCTTCAGAAAATGCGCTCTTTATACGTTTTGTAAGTGACTCGGCGGAGTCGAGTACTGGATTTAGTATGAAGATTTCATCTCAGTCGAAGGTGTGTGGCGATATGAATTTGGAGGTTAAGAGCAAGGAGGTGAGTAGACTTCGTACGTGGGCAGTACGGCTTTTTTATTATAAATAAAATTTATTTTCTTACAGAAATTGGTTTTAAATTCACCAAATCCACCAGGTGAACTTTACGGCAAACATTTGAATTGCTTGTGGAGACTCACAAGCGCAAAAACGATACATTTGAAATTCGAACGTTTCGATTTGGAAGGCTCAAATGTCACGGGTAAATGCGGCGGCGATACACTGAAAATTTTTAACAAGGAGGTGAGTTTCGTTAGCGAATACAGGTTTGAGAGAGTAGCTCTCTTCAACTTCGTACCAGCCTAAAATATTGTTTTTGTAATGAGCAGCTTCTTCTTCATAATTGCCGTAAGCACTGTCAGTCAAGTTTTCCAGAAATTTCACATTGAAGTTTAGTACTTCTCTACTTGCTCTTTGCCAAGACTCTGGAATGGAATACTGAAGGCGGGCATGAGTGAGACGTCGGAATACTCCCTCCCTTTCTATTCGGCCTTATCACGGTAGGTGGACTTTTGTGAGGACCTTTATATTTTATTTGCCAAAAATGCACTCTCTGCCGAGGAGCGACCGTAATTAGAAAAACTAATTTTAAAGTTACTTTTCAAGAGTTAAATCTCCAACAGTTTGGTTGGTAGTACGCACTATTTATTGCGCGGATAATGCAGCTACCATAAAGGATTACTGCAACCACAAATTATGCCTTTCTTAACTATGAATATCTCTGCTAACACCCTGCTTAACTTGTTGTGTTCTGACGGGAGAAAACGAGCTATATAAGTAGGCTGGCGATGGGTTTTTTCCTTGGAAATTTTTCATTTTATTCGTGCGGTCTCATCCCCCCTAGATGGAAAAGTCACTGCATTTCCTCTACAACTGCATTTCCCTGGAGGTAGTATTTTAGATAAGTGAAGGATAATGAGTCACTAAGTGATCGTGTGTAATGCATCATTTCATAAAATATTCAAATTTCGAAATGGCTTCTGGCGATGTACTTTCATAGAGTTAATGGTCCGTTGGATTGCCAGATGGACATTCAGGTTGGAAGTAAAGTACACGTCGAGTAGGACTTCAACGCTTTTTGCCAAGTTTAAGCGAGTGTTGTTATCCAATATTGAATCTACTCGTACCTAAAATCCTCTAAACGACACTTCTAGATGCCTAAGTGATCTAAAGAATGTCGGACAGAAACATAGGAGATATTCTAACGTTTCACTCATAGTCTACATGTAACTCTGTAAGTAATGTTTACTCTGCTAGCGCGTTTTGTTAACTGGTTGTGGTCTGATATTTGGCTTGCAAGCGTCCTGCAGTCTGTTCGAGACGGTCTCAGCGAAAAGTGAGAGTATTTTCCTTTGATGCATAGATCTTGACGGTCTGCTAAGGCCTTTCTTTTCAATCTAATCCATTTTCCAAGTCTCTCGGTCGCCATACGGAAGACACTTAATATTTTTACATAATTTTTTAATGAAAAAATCAATCTCGTTTTAGGATACTGATCAGATCGAACGTGGTTATGGCACAGAAATCGTTCAAAATGGTAAAATGGGCAGCGCAGACTGGAGTAATTATGCGACGGATTATGTCTACTGTGGCAATCAATTACCCGATGATTACTACTCGTTTGGTAATACGACAATTATTAAATTCCAAACTGATGATGTGATTGAAAAAAGTGGTTTCAGCATAAGCGCCTACGCTGTGGATGGTAAGATATTCTGCAAATATTTTATTCCGAACATTATAATTATAATATTAGAAGATAATTTTTTTATACTACTTTTAAGAAAGCTGAACTCCGTTTTACTAATAAATCGCATTGAATGTAATTTCATGTGCGATGGAAAGAGGCATTGTTTATGCGAGAAGCGTAAATACTTTTGCTACTTTAGGCACTGGTTTATAATCTGATCGGTGTGCACTTTCCCCTCTGTCTGGTCCGTAATGTAATATTGCTAATTCTAGCACGTCTAAAAACTCATCAGAACCTTCATTCTCTCTACTTCTCTTATTTTATAGCGACCGTCGTAAAATTGTATTGGCCTGTTACCAGCATAAGTCTAATTGATCTAAATTGTGAAGGTGCAAAGCCATAAAATTTAGCTCAAGAAAGTTCTCATGTCATTAAGTCTCTGCAGAAATATAAAGAATAATCACACAGTCACAAAGTCGCATCAACTCGCAATGATATTATATCAGTCCTAATATTTTTATACCATATTACATATCGAAAAATCACATCACATCATATCGCCTTAATGCTGTTACATCTTTACACTTTCCTAAAAACATCACATGATATATGATCATATCACTTAGATACTACAATATCACATCACTTATTATCGAAAAATCCCATCACATCATACCGCCTTAAGGCTGTTACATCTTTATATTTTCCTAAAAACATAACACACATCACTTAGAACTTTGATATCACATCACTTATTATCGAAAAATCCCCTTACCTCTTATCACATCATACCGCCTTAAGGCTGTTACATCTTTACATTTTCCTAAAAATATCACATGATATAAGTATGATCTTTAATATCACATAAGTATGAACTTTAATATCACATCACTTATTATCGATAAATCCCATCAGCTCATATCACATGATACCGCCTTAAGACTGTTTCATTTCTACATTTTCTAAAAATATCACATGATATATGATCATATCACTCAGACACTATAATATCACATCACTTATTATCGATAAATCCCCTCACCTCATATCACATCATACCGCCTTAAGGCTGTTACATCTTTATATTTTCCTAAAAGCATCAGCATATATTATGATGATCACATCACTCAGATATCCTAATATCACATCATTTATTATCGAATAATCACACAACACGATATCGTCTCATGGCTGATATATCTTGTGTTCTACAAACCCTAAGTATGTGGGCTGCTACATCATCACATCAATTACCATCAGTAGTCTAATCGCATGTTATCACACGGCAGCACTTAGAGATAGCTGCAATGACTTCTAATATAGACCGTTCGGTTGTGGGTTTCTATGTTTTCTTAAACTATCACGTGATGTCCGTTCACATCATATACTCAAACTGCATCACTTCACATTTGAAGACTCAACATTATATCAAAAACAAAGGAAAAGCTTCCTACCGCCTCCTGTTGACATATAAATTGCATTCATGGTGCAGTGGGGAATGTTTTGGATGTAACATACTAACATATTTATACTCTTTCACTTACCAAGAATTTCACATATTCTTTTTCATCTCTTACAGGCTGCTTCCGCAATTTCACCGGTACCCAGGGCCGCGTACAGATAGTCGATACAACAGACGAATGCGATATCTACATTGAGGCGCCACAAAATCGCACACTCAGTATTTATTATGCCGATGTGACATTTGCTGAATATGAATGCGCCAAGGAATATGTGGAGGTCTTTGATGCCTACACCAACAAATCGCTGCAGAAGATTTGCTCGTATATGGGCAATGAGAAGGCGTTATTCTCCAGCACGAATAAGTTGCGTGTGCATTTGAAAATGAGCGGTTACTATACGAAATTCGATTTCACATATCTGGCCAGCCAGGATGGTCCCGGTTGTGGTGGTAATCTGTATAATGCACGTGGAACTATCACCAATCCATTTTATCCGAATAATATTCGAAATAATTCCGATTGCCGTTGGAATATACGTGTTCCGGGCAATTTGCATGTTCTTTTGCACTTCGATGGTGAGATTTTGAAAATTTGATCATTTTCCTCATGAAATCACCATACTTTATCGTTAATGCATTCATAAATTTTCATTGAGAAATCTCTGGCAAAGTTGAGGGAGGATTTTGGTTAACTCGGGTCTATTGTAAGCATGAATAATTTTATTGTCTGATTTGAGAATTTTTTCAATTTTGTTTGAGGACCTGGACCTGAAAGTAATCTTAATTTTCATTTAGAAGTTCTCCTTCAATTCCAAAATAACGGTGTCTGCATTTGGTGTGGATTCCGTTCGGAAGAGCATACAAAAATATATTTGAGAATTCTTTGATATAACTAAAGTAGTGAATTTTTGTAATCTGTTTTTCGTGAACTTGCGGTAGAATGAGCTGGAAGGTAATCTTAAGAACATCAGGGTTTGAATATCGCTGACCTTTCCGTTTAGATTTAACCAAAACTTCCTAATCAAACCATAAAAGGTGGTCGCCGTGGACCTCATGGGTGAGGCCATACAAATTTTCGGAACGAACATGCGAGAAAATAAAGAAAAGGCAAATACTTTAGCTCAAAGACGATTTAAGGTAAACTCCGATATGAAGCACAAATTGGCACCCTTTTGCTGCTGATTTGCCATTCAGTTAGATTGAAGTGTATGTACCCTAGCGGAAATAAGGATTTTTATCTGATAACCCGCTTTGAAGCTAATACGTGGTTTCTGCGGAGTTCATCTTATTATTCAGAGCACATTTTCGTTTTCGTACAGGTCGTTAAGGAGGGGAGTAGCACCTCACCCTGACCTTCCTACAGAGGGAGTAGTACCTCACCGTCTCTAAATATCTGATTTAATGTAAAATTAGGACACGGAGTTCTTCCTATTTGTGCTGAAGCTACTTGTCGCTACAGCGGTCGGCTCACGACTCCTGTCTTCCTGGCCTAAGGCTAGTCCTATATACATACAATTGTCCCAGCCGAAGGCAATTAGTTTTATTTGTGCTTCGTGGTTTACATGTTTTGAGAATTTTTAATTGTACAATATGCATAACAATTTGCATTCTTTTCTGGATTACGTCAATTAGCTATGTAACTGTATAAGTCGTTGGTATTGGTTTTATATATGATGGTAGAGGTTAGATATTTTTAGAAATTTAATGATTTTACTTATATTATCTAAGTTGGGATTGGAGAGGAGTTGGGAGGGTTTGTTGTAATGGAATATTTGTCTTCTCAGGTTTGATGAGGGGTAGCAGGAGTCGAGGATGTGTTCAATGGTGGTTGGGGAATAATTTTGGCAAGTAGGACATAGAGGAGAATAGTTTCTGTCTATGCTATATATTGTAGTTTGGTGATCTTTGTGTGTCCTAGTCGGAGTCTAATTATTTTAGTTTGGTCAAGCCTTGTAAGTGAATTTTGGGGGGTGAATTTAAGGTATTTAGTTATCGCTAATATGTTTTTTGTTGTAAATTTGTTGAGAGGACCATTAATAATTGACAAAACTTTTCCTAAGAAAACTCTTATTTCCAACTCTTCAGATGTTGTCTTCATACAGGCTTCTGATGGTGCAGACGGGAGAGACTTTTAGAGTCTGGGATTTGTTTGCCGCAAGAGGATTTGTTTAGGTTTCATGTATACATCTTCATTAAAAAGAGTATCTAATTTACCATACCCATTCAGGTTATGATTTCTTCTTATAATATTTTCTATTAAAAAATCTTCTTAAATACAGTTTTCGATCTTGGCACCAAAAACACTTGCCATTCGGATTATTTGGAGATAATTGAAACCGATGATGATGAGGGTCCGCCGAGTGTGGTGCGACGTTTCTGTGGCGAGGTGAAATATAGAAAATATAATTCGAAATTGAAATTGTATTAAATTGCCTTTTGATAATTTTTCATTTTTTTTTTTCAGGATAATCCCAGAATGTATAAAAGTGAACGCAGCTCGCTCACCATACGTTTCCATAAAACACTCAATTACGATGGCACTGGTTGGGTGATAAACTTCCAAGGTGTTTATTCTAATTATAAAATACCCGAATATATGTTAATGTAAATAAATCATCATGATGAAGAAAAAAATTAATTAAAACTAAAGTTAATTAGTAATTTGTATTGGGTTTTAATAAAGTGTGTAAAATCTTCACAATTTTACTCAATTTCAACTCATTTGAGGTAGTCGATTTAGGAGTATACCTCCGCAATGGATGAGGTAGAGCTCAAGATTTTGTTCGAACATTTTCGTTTATTACAAATTCGAGCCGTTCGACGTTTTTTGAGTATTCACAAAACGAACATTCGTTTACACAAACAACATACATAAGTTTTCTGTTTCATTGAAAATTTGCAACATTAAAAAGATACATTCATCCTCTTTCAAACGCACCTAACATCATGTAAGTCGGATGACAGATGTAACAGACAGGTGACAGCCATTTCAATAAAACCAAAAGTGTGCTAATGGTTCAAAAATAAAATGGAACAAAGAGCGAATATAAAATTTAAAAATTGTCGTGAGGTTTTATATGACGACCCTAGAGCGGAACGTCCAGAAATTAGTAATCGTGATGAAAAGGTGGAAAAAGTCCGTGAAATCATTGGTATCGATGCAAATTTTACTACGAGAATGTTGGCTGAGGAATTGAATACGAACAAAAACACTATTTGGAGAATTTTAACTTTGGGGAAAAGAAAGGTCTGTGCGCGATTTGTTCCACATGAATTAAATCACGACCAAAAAATCGCTCGAATTTTTAATGAAAAAAGGGATTGCTCTCATCGACCATCCTCCGTATTCGGCTGATCTATCACTATTTTTTATTTCCAAAACTGAAAACCAAGATGAAGGGAGCATTTTATGATGATATCCCAGCCATTCAAGCAGCCGTAACTGATCGTTCCAAACGTTGTGTTCAGTCAAATGGAACCTATTTTGAATAAATAATAACTTTCAAAGATAATATAATGTGTATTTTATTTTATATCCAAAAAGTTGGGTTATATTTGGGACACGCAGTGTATATATGTATTCCCCGCTTTACAATCACCAAAGTTACCTTCAAAAAATTGATTGCTTCGTTGGCTGTATGCCATTTAACACTGTCTTGTGGAACCAAAGATCGTCCACATCCAAAATTTTCTAATTCACGCAGGAAAAAGTCATTAATCATGGCTCTATAGTGCGGCTTCATTTTTGGACCAAGGATTCGCTCTGCCCATAGAGCACACCAAGCACTTTGAGTATGTAACGGCGTTCAAAAAATGGCTTGAGGATTATCTTCACTTCAAGTGCGAAAATTTTGTTGATCAACGTACTCATTCAACCAAAGCTGACCATCTCGTCTTAGGTCTAATCATCAAACGAGCGAAGCGTTCGGCTTCAGTTCTTGCCGAACTAACGTTGGATTTTGTACCCTACAGCGAAACCTTTCCGAAAAAAGTATTGCCCCATTGAAACGCACATGTCTGAAAAGTTTTTATTTACAACTGGTGCCAAACAGTGAAGAGAATGAACGAATACCGCGAATGAATATAATCATCTGAGCGGTGCCTACGGCAATAAAGAAAAATATAAAGGCTCCCCTTTCAGATTTGGGATTATGGGTCATAAATCTGTCAAAACGGCTTCTAAAAATGCGGTACCGAAAATCATCGAAATCGAACAATTATACCGGATATGAATTATTGTTTAATCCTGAAATGAAATATCACAAAATTTATATGGTCTTGAGAGGTGTAAAGACGTCTTCATGGACGAAGATGGCTCTTCTTTTTTGTTCTGTTTATAAATGAATCCTACTTACCTCTCCAAATATCAGTATCTCTTATATACAACCTAAATTGCCACTACGATGGTGGCTCGCATCGTCGTGAAGTAAACAGTCCCTTTCGCTGTATGCAATCCTTATCCTACTTGCTATTCTTTAGACCTTTTCTTAGTGGGCAGGAGTGTAAGTCGAACAGAAAATCGCTCGACTGTTTGTAGTCATTTCAGTTGCATTAGTCTCCCCAGCCAAAATTAACCAGGTTGAACTGGGCATCCGTTTTATATTTAGTACATTAGCTGCTAAGGCTCAAATGTAGTATAATATACTACATATTATATACTACTTATACTGTTATTTATCGGTCAGTTGTGCTTGCAATATCTTTATAGCTACACATTTATATGATGTACTCATATTGTTTGTTATCAAGATAAGGCAAGCAAGCGTGCCATCCGGCTGAAATTAAAACAATTAACTTACATACAGTACGAGGTGTGTTCAAAAAATATCGCGAATTTTGTGTTTTTTTTTCAAAAACTATTTATTTATTCATGAATATCTATTTAGCCCCCTTCAAAGTAATCTCCATAAGATATGATACACTTGTGCCAACGGATTTTCCAATCTTCGAAGCACACCAAAAAAAATTTTTTTAGCTTGTTCAGCTCCTCCTTCGATGTCGTCTTTATCTCGTCAAACGTAGCGTAACGTCGTCCTTTCATCGGCCTCTTCAGTTTAGGGAACAAGAAAAAGTCACAGGGGGCCAGATCTGGGGAATACGGTGGCTGCGGCATCATTAGTGTGTTGTTTTTGGCCAAAAAGTCGCGCACAAGCAAAGATATGTGAGCAGGGGCGTTATCGTGGTGCAAAAGCCAATTTTTGTTCTTCCACAAATCCGGGCGTTTCTGGCGGATTGCTTCGAGCAAATTGCGCATAACTTGCAGGTAATATTCCTTATTGACCGTTCTACCCTGTGGCAAGAACTCATGATGCACCACGCCTCTGCAATTAATTTTTTCGTCTGTTGTTGAAGTGCTCGGGCGTCCGGCACGCTCTTCGTCGTTCACATCATCTCGGCCTTCTGAGAACATTTTGTACCACCGATAAACGTTGCTTCGGTCGAAGCTAGCTTCTCCGTATGCCACGGTCAACATTCGGAATGCATCCGCGCACTTAATTTCGTTTTTCACAGAAAATTTGATCCATTTTTTTTTGAATAGATAAAAATCGAAGACCATCCAAAACACGTGCAAGCAAAGCAGCTGACAAACAATTAAGGGAACATTCAAAATGGCCGAGCTTGTCGACATAAGTGACAGACATGAGTACCAACATAACGCCAGAAAAAAATCGAAATTCGATTATACGTAACTCGGGAAAATTCAAAATTCGCGATACTTTTTGAACACACCTCGTATACAATTCGGCGAATAAGAAAAACGAAAGAAACTGTCTGAAAGTCAAAATTTTGTTTAGCTTAGGAACAAAACTTTGCAGTCTTTTTGTATTTTCATACTTATACGAGTATGTATGTATGTTTATGTATTTATATAAGCATTTTATAATGTGCGATTAATTTTTTAATGATCATCATAAACTGCGTATGTGAACAGTAAACTGGATTGCGTGTGTAAAACAATTGAAATTAATCTTACAAATTTTCGAATTTTTCTTTTGTTTTTGTAGACACATACATACATATGTACACACATAAATGGTTAGGACACTTTGTACTTGCTATCTACATGTGTAAGTATGTACATCATACTTATCTATTACGAAGTGTGACGTTTTTGTTGCTTTTTTGCTTTGCAATATTCAATATAAGTGTGTTTTATTCGAAAATTGCTTTGGGGTGGCAACGGGAAAAAAGTAAAATGAAACGACGTTCGTGGAAAATAAACTACTGAGCTGAAGGTAAATTATTTTCATGGATAAAGAAATGAAAATTATGTCACGAGCAGGATCAGGGGCCGCACTTTTTATTAAAATTTATTTTTCAATAATCTGGAAACGTTAGGAATTCTCGTGTGAGTTGCCTTAACCATTAACCTCTCAAAAAAGAGAGGGAGCTTTAGTGGTTTCTATCTTCCCAAGAATCCTTCTGAGACGAGCTGCTCGTTACAGAAATGGTTCCAGTTGTTTTATTTATCTGTGCAGGGAGATTACGCGCTTGGTTTGTATCCGGCGCGTAGAAACATCTTCAATGGAAAAGATACAACAGTATTGCATGAGTGACTCCCTTTTTGGTCAATGTATTAGAAACTTTGATTTAAGGGATACAGCGTAAGACTAAAGGTTGACATCACCTCCATCCGTGAATTGCGCTGGACAGGACAACAACGGAAAGGAGTAAGCCCTTGTGGCATGCTGTATAAAAGAGCACAAATTTGGTATTGGATTCGTGGCGGTAGAGAAAGACTCAGTCGCCAAATCACCTCGATCCGAATCAAAGTGAAGTTTTTCAACATATCGAGGACTCGCGCCGTCACCATGATGGAAGAGAAAAATTATATGATTTTTTTATACCTTTTTGAACGGCTGGAATATACTTATGAAGGCAGCCGCCCCATCACGATGTCAACATTGTGTTCGGTGTCATTACGCCAGGGTAGTCAAAAGTGGTACAATTCAGCCGAGAACCGATAATTGGTTGCCTGTAGTACTACATTCTAGTACCAGAAGTATTGTCATGCTTCTTCACTAACTCCGGATCGAAAAACTCGCAGCCATATTAATCATATTGTGATAGACGCACAACATTTCTTTAGTGTTCTAGACGTGCGCACCCTCCAAAAAGCCAACATTGATTGGGATCACTATACGCATTCGCCTCTGCGCAGTTAAAACGCTCGTCTACAAATACAAAGTTTCAAAGTCGAAAAAGCGAGCCACCGTGCGCTGGATATAAGACATGATAACAGTTGTAGAGGTCAGTTAAACGAATTTCTTCTTCTTCTTCTTTCTTGACGTTGGCACCGCTTACGCGATTATAGCCGAATCAATATTAGCGCACAATTCATCCCTTCTTTTCGTTGTTTGGTGCCAGTTGGAAATACCCAGTGAAGCCAAGATTTGTAGACAAAAAATTAAAAGACGAGATATGAATTTGAATTTATGATATTATGTATTGAAATGATTGGCCGGCGCTTATGCAATTATAGGCACATCAACCATAGCGTGACATTCGTGCTTTCCCTTCCCTGCTAGGTGCCAGTGAAACCTTGTGACTCTCCCCCTGATCTTTCCAAAGAAGTGAGGGTCTGTCTTTTTCTCCGCTTTCAGCAGCGGTTACTACGTTGAATACTTTCAGAGGAGTTTGGAGTGTTTTCATCCATACGGATCCTTCGAAAAAAGGTTTCTTTCG